CAGGGTGTTTAGTTTAGCGTACATGATGCTGTATACGTCCCTCGCCGTGTTTTTTTCCCGGCTGGAGATGGAGCTGTACGAAACGACAGCGGCGGATATGGAGATTATTGACCAGTTTGCGCCAATCATCCAGGGTGTGGTCAAGGTGAAGATCACCAAGGATCGCTGGAGGGAATAACTGGAGGGAATAGGCACAACATAGGGGGGGGGGGGCAGGAATAGGGTACTCTCTGGATTGCGTCTGCCTCTGCCTTACGACACAGTAGAAATTTTCAATTTGCAATTTACTAGTTGTCATTTACCTATGTTTAGATGCGATCAGCATCTCCACCGTCCCGTGCTCTCTTCCAAGGTACAGGACGGGGCTAAGACCTGTAAATGTGGGAAATTCAGCCCATCTGCCAAGAGGAACTATGTATTACATTACTGCATAGGTGGAACAGTGGAGTAAAAGTGTTCCTGCAAGCCCAGTCACAAAATCGACTGGATTCGGGCAGACCGCCGGTCTCGAATGCGCCATGCATGTGCCGCTTGGGATTTAGGAGCAAAGTACAGTGTCGGTTAGCTCCAAGTAGAGCTCATAGAAGCCGGGGTACACCTCGTCAGGTCATCCAGTTTCTCAATCTTCATAGAGCATCCGTAAATCCTGTGACAGCCACAGCGGCATCTGACTGGAAATGACTGTGCCGCCAGTACGCGAACGAGCCTCGTTCGAGGTAGCCAAACGCCTTCTCTGTCAGATTCTGAACGAAGGTCTGGTCAGCGGGACGATAGAGACATTCGAGTCCGAAGGCCAGTACCTGTGTCTGTTCAGCAACGGCTGCGTCACAGAGAAGCCAGAAAAATGCATCCGTGTCCGACTCCAGCCCAGCGCGCGGGCAGGGATCTTCATGCGCTCTGGGCGCATCGTGTCGCTGGTGCGCCCGGAGATGTTGCAAATGCCCGTCACTCTCGTGGATGGGCCGTCTGAAGGGCGGGAGCTTCGTTCCGGGGCTCTGTTTCAGTTTGCAAGTAGCCTGTTCACGGAGCATGTCGAGGCGACAACGTTGGACGAGATAGCGTTGGGATTGGAGAATAGTGAGGCAAATACAGGTCCGCACAGACTCTCCTCTCTCTCCCTCTCCCAAGTGATGCTGATAAAATGAGCAGAAAAGTGGCTGGAATTGCACTCCTCGCCTGAGCCATTACACCTCAACACGTCGTCGGTCACCTGGGAACGGGCGCTGATCTGGGGACACCCGACGCATCCGGTATGTAGTCGCCCCTCTTTGATGTCGGTCAGCGGTGTTTAATCGTCACCAGTTTCACAGACTGTGCTATGCACAGGAAGGCCTAGCTCCAGTTGAACCCAAAGACCTGCCCGAGTTCCTCACGCCAACACTGGCCTTCGTGTCCGTCTTACGGGAAGAGATCTCCCTCGCAGGCCCATTCGAGGAGTCGCTGCAGCCTCTTCTGGCGCAGCTGGAAGTCCCCCCTCCCGAGAGCGCTGACAGAGTCATTGTCCCCTGTCTCCGTCTCCAACTCCCCTGTGTCTTCCGCCACTTCCCCAGTGCCGTCGTGGTGAAAACAGTTTCCGGCTGCGCAGACACGCAAGCCTCGATGCGCACCCTCACCCTGCGTCCAGAACTCAACTTCCCCTACCACATCAAACTGTCCATTGCCTGCCAGATCACTTCGGATGTGCGGGCGATCCGCCCCTGCCAGACCCTCGGCGGCCAGCTGGTCCGGAAGCAGCTGCACAAATTTTTCCCGCCGGATCTGTGGTGGTTCAAAGAGGTTGCGTCTGTGTCGGGCAGCCAGACGGCGCAGGGAGACACGCAAGAAAACGAAGACAAAGCGCGGCATATCGGCTGTATTCTGCGTGAGGACTTGGAGGCTCGAGCGAACGCGCAGAACGAGGCGCTGATCATCGCGGGGACGCTGGCTCAGCAGCCCGCGAACGATCCCCGGACACACGCGGAGATTGTCTTTGGTCTTGAGACTGTCGAGCAGAAGCATGAGTGGTTCAGAGAGTAAACATTTCTCCCCTAGAATGCGATAGAAAGTAGACTAATATCGGTCTAGGTATGTGGCGGGCTTTTTGCGCGCTGTCCTCCCTTCGCTGGTGCAGTATGGCATCGGGATGGAGGCCCATGGGCAAAACACCCTGGTTCGCGTGTGTCGCCAGACCAAAAGAATCACCGGCTTCGTCGTCCGAGACTTCGAAGGCATCAAGGTGCATGTCCCCACGCTTGAGAAACTCGGCATAAAACTGTGCATGACCTCTCCAGGCTGCACAAGAAACCTGGAGAACATCTGGAGCAAGATTCACCATGCCATCTTCCAGAACCACCTGGGGAATCTGGTCTACGCGCTCGGTCTGGACCGCCATGATGGATGGACGATCATCCGGGACGAGCTCACTGCTGCCCTGAAGCCGGACATGGATCCGCAGGCCAAGGAGTTGTATGACTTTATTCTTCAGGATACGATGCCGTTTAAGTGCTTTTTGAGAATGCGGATGAGCGAGCACTTTAATGATGTGGGTTTTCCCTGTATTTGGTATGACCGTGCTGACTTTTTCCTCGGTATAGTATGATGGCGATGAACAGGATACACCGAGCGTCAAGGTAACATGTTCTATTTATTTAACTCCAATGATTACTGACGGTTCTTTGCCTAGCGTGACGAGAGACCGCTGCCTAATGCCCTTCTCATGGGTTCTGATAAATGGGAGAAGATCTTGGATGATCATGCACAGAGAATGCGCAAGACTTGAAGATTATCGGCCGCGGCACCTGACTTATAGCTGTCAGACGCTGTGTTGACTGCAGCGATGTCACATGTACTTATTCATTCACGTAATATTTGGAGTGAGCCTGCAGCTGCTGAGGGGACAGCGTGGCACTCCTGCTATTGAGTCAATCTTCCCGCTGATTAAGTAGGTTACATGGAATGGAGCGCGGTAGGTTGGGCGAGGAGTTATATTCGACAACTATCCTACCAAACACTGATCTGACAGACACTGACTAGCAGTGTGCCGCTTAAAGGACAGATTCTTCCTGATCCATCCGTAATGTGCCGCAGAAAGTGCCAAAAGACTGTCCTCTCTTTACGGAGCAGTCTCCGAATCATGAATCATGTTTCCATAGATAGAAATCTTCAGTATGATCTTACACAGACAGCCCTCTATCAAACTGCCACTTCGTTATGCCTTCATCTCCAGCCTACTCGCCTATGCTCCACTCGGCTCACTAAACACATGACTGAATGGCAGCGATGTCCCAAAATTCGGGCTCCCATCGCTATGAGCCCCGAGCATCTGGACCATCGTGTACCGCGAATTATCGCAAGCACCAGCACTATTATTCGTAGCATGGTACGCGATCCATGTTTGCTTGGTATCCGGGCTCTGGAAGAACGAGTTGTGGCCGGTGCCATAGTTTCCGTTCGCTGAGGACAGCACACATCCATTATGCTTGCTCCAGGCACTTGCCGACGTGGGTTTGGTCTTACCGTCCCAGGTCAACAGGCCGAGACAGTAGTACGAAGTCCAGCAGTACGAGGCCGAGTAGGCGATGTATGTGACACCGTTGAAGTAGAGAGCGACGGGTCCTTCGTTGACGGGTGTGCCGTGCTTCTCGAAATCCATGGTGGGCTGCGAGATGACGTAGATGTCGCCGGTGAGGGAGACATAGTCCGCGCCCAGCTGCTGCAGGCAAATGGACTGGTAGGTTGCGCCGTGGAAGCAGGAGAACATGAGGAAGTTGCCGTATGTGTTGGTACGGAGGACGGAGGCGTCGATGGACCATTCGTTTGTTAGTTGGCCGGTGTAGGTGAATGTGTCCCAGGGGGTGGCGCCGCCTGAACTGTCAGATTTGTGGACAGGAAAGGGTCTATGGTGGCTTACCGGTCAGAACGTGGAGCCGTTGGCCGTCCAGATTAGTGGTCTGGCCGGCCGTGTAGTAGATGTACCACTTGCCGCCGAGATAGTGGACTTCAGGAGCCCAGACATTGCAGCATCGCGAGGCAGTCGAGGTAGAGTAGACAACTTTCTTTGGGGCGGTTTTGAGACCCTCGATAGTGGTCGCGCGTGTCATTTCCACGTCCGTCCATGTCGTGGTCATCAGGTAGTAGTACCCGCCAGTATACACCATGAATGGATCACTTCCTCCGGGGTTGCGTATGGGGTTTGTGAACGCAGAAGCTGCGGGAGCTAGAGCTAGGAGCCCTACAAGGGCCGTGATGAGTTTGGAGAAGATACTCGCCATGTTGGCGTTGCGTTGTCGCGGATGATCTGCAGTGTATAGTCCTCATGGCGTACGTTGATGCGATATTTATACGATGTCTGAAGAGTCAATGAACTGCATCTAGGCAATTGATCTGTTCATAGTGTGGCTGGGTTGTTATTGACCCCGCCGGAGAGTAGCTCCTTTGATATATGCTAGTCTCCGGATTTACCCCGCGATTCGTCATGAAGACTGTGGGTCAAGCTGGGCCACAAGACACTACGGAAAATCTATGTAGATTTGTTTTATCTTCATGAAGAGCTCTACTAGTGTTGACAAAGTCTCGATTCGTTGTGGCAGTCTTGGTTGCAATAGTGGAGGTCCGTTTCATCATTTCGCGAACCATGATTAGAGGAAATATTGGTAGCTGTCTTCTCGGCTTATGCTGAATTTTCTCTTGGGCAATGGTAAATAACAACCAGGAGACATCTAGAACATAGTTGATTTTCGTGCAGCGGGTAATTCCATTTCCGCTGATTACAAGACAGGCAATATAGTATATCACCAACGCCACGTGCATAAAGAAGATGCATCAAAGCTAACAGCTGCCATTGCCGCTTTGACTAGTATTGGTAGACCTTATAAAACTGTATATCGATGGTGATCCAATACATGCATCCACACGCCTACACACGTCCAGTCCCAGTAGCTCTATTGCTATGCGAACCATGTTCTATTTCCATCAGCACAGATCAGGAAACACTAGTGATCCATTGGCATACCAATTAATTCCTACTTCAGATCTCCTCGTTCCGTATCAGGCTCAAACTCCATCACCTGGAAGCTCTTGATATCCGACTTCAGCTCGGAGGAGCCGGCCTCTCCAATCGAGAATTCCAACTTCTCGCATTCGTCGTCCGAGAAGAACATAACCTTCTGGTTCTTTTGCAGGTCGCTGACGGTCACTTCCTCACCCTTGGCCAGGTTGGCAGAAGTGCAGTAATCGGGTTCGGAGCCGGCCCAGTATCCGGTGGTGACCTTCCAGGCGCTGGCAGCGAGGGGGAGGGCGAGAAGGACGGCGGCGAACTTCATGGTGATGGCTTGGATTTGAAATTGGTTTAAAGAGGGTATGTCGGGAGAGAGAAGAAGTGAGTGGTAGAGAGAGATATGTGGTTGACGAGGAGAAAGGGGTTGTTTATATGGTTGGCATGGGGAACCACCGCTGGAATTGAGAAGTGGCGATCTGAAAACATGCATGAAGATGGTCATTATGAATGTGAGTTGTCTCATTAAGTCTTCTTTTCATTCGCTGTATGATTCGCTAACACGAGTAGTTGTCTGTAAGGGGTATCATAATGTTACACAGATCCACAGCCAATGACAATAACTTCAAGTGTGATCGTCACTGGGCTGTTTGTCCCTACGACAGGCCTTCACCTGTTAGGCTCAAAGTTCACCGCAGGAAGTTTGGAACAATCTCAGTGGAACAAATCATGTATTTAAACAGTTGTTGTATGCTGCATATCACTTAGCTAGTTGAACTTAGCAAGGGGTCAGCGTAAATGAAATTGGTGACGCGCACTGTCGCACGCTGTGGCCCTGAAACAAGGCAGCGACAGCTATAGAGACGAAAAGAAGTGACCAAGGCATAAATGAGTGTGCGAACAGCAGCAGCGCAAAGGTTGACGGGCAGCTCGGGCACTGTATATGTACAAAGTAAACCTCTCAACCTCTCCCCTTCCTTCAGTCATTTCAGGGCACTATCGACCACATCAATCATTCTTTTCTAGCCACTCGCCCCCTTCTCACTCGTCCCATTCGTCCCAGTCACGTTGATAGTCGTCCTCACCCCCGAAACCAAGTGCTTCAGTACGTCTGAAGTAGGGCCTGTACTCATCATCGTCATCGAAACCCTCAGGGGGAGGGTTAAGATCCCAAATAACCTCTATCATCCACGTAAGCCATCGAGGTGGCGGTGGCCATTTCCGAAAATACTCAATTCGTTGCGACTCATCAAGGCTTTCTTTTTGTCCCTCCCACCAGGTAAAGAATATTGTTATATAGTCTTCGCCAGGGCCCATACGCCAGCATATGCTGTATGGGTGGGTGTCCTGGAACATGAACCAAGGAGGGGGAACTGCTCCATGTTGAGCGACCAGCTCTGCAATTTTATCCTCAGTACATGTTGAGTTGCCCATTGTGTATGTCACTAGAGTATGTCATGTGACTGAGGGCCAAAGTACCTAGAGATGCGATGATATAGCAGTCAGCTTGCTGCCTCAACTGAACTTGGGTAACACACGCTGCAGCACACTGTGACTCTAAAACAGGCGAAAACAGGAGCCGCCCACATAAGATTGCAGCAAGTAGGCAAATCAGGAGTGCAGGAACAACAGCAAATAGGAGCAATCTTAGCAATGAGACCAATCAACCAGCATCCAGATCAGCAACAAGTCTGACAGTGGGAGTGGAAGCAAAGTTTCATGGGCAGCGCGCGCGGGGTAGTAAACCCTTCACGCGTTCCTCGTTTCAGGTAACGTGACCTGGAATCCAACTAAGCACCAATGAGAGAGAGGCTTGGCGGGGGAGGAGGGTGTGTGTTTGTGTTATTGACCTCGATTTCCAGCAATCATTGCACCAACTTCCGAATAGGTATTTTTTGAAAGGTATCAGGAACCGAACAGCGCACGCAGAGCCGGATAGACGTCCCTTGCCTCAGAATGACGCATGTACGTTCGATATTGGGTCCTTGCTGGCCGCGGTCGATCGGAGAAGCACCGACTTAACCACGCGCATTCACTTCGTGACTGTTCCTGCAGTTGCTCTAAGATGCAGGCACGGAGTAGTAAAGTAAGATGAATATTCCACCCGTTAAAGCCCGCAATGTGGAGGCACGAGGTGGTCGCCTGACCCTAAAAACACACTTCATGCAAGGGGTGGATTCTGCTGTGTTGCCAAAGAATGAAAGCCCATCGACTAGGTGATCATTCCTTGGCACATATATCCCACAATGTTATTGTATGGATAATGAACCTCAATAAAGACGGGGAAATCCAATGTTGGTGGAGCTTAATCTGCTGGCCGCGGAGTTGTTTATGTCAGAGAGTCTACTATATACGGATGAATTGGTATAGCTATCGGTTATGGGCTGGGATGACCGAAGAGGTGACTATTCATGACCTTCAATTTGTGGGTGAAGGTACTGACAAATGTCTAGGAGCAACGAGACTACACCGACTACAGCAAGGATACGGGAGGGGAAGATAGTAGACTGTGATGCTTGAAGACAGACTTCGGTATTAGAAATATAGCTAGAAACAAACCCAACACCACATCCACTACGTCAGACGTTACTTGTCAAAGACAGAGATCAAGCAGCCGACTTGCCAGTAACAGTCTCGTGGTACGTGGCCTCGGCCTCGATCTCCTTCTCGACCTGTTGCAGATCAATATGCGCAACGGCGTCTTCGCCGTCGAAGATCCGCGCCACCTCCTCAAGGGTGTTACCCTTGGTCTCGACGTAGAAGAAGTAGACGAAGATCAACTCGCAGAAGTTCCAGAGGGTGTAGAAAAGCATAAAGTTCCAGTGGTGGGGGAGGTTCTCCCAGGCGACCATGTTGGTCTGGTTACCGATGGCAAGAATAGCCTGGACGGTGATGTTCATGATCATCATACCCTTGGCACGGAGCTGGAAGGGAAGGACCTCGAGGGCGTAGGCGATGAGCAGACCGGAGAAACCAATGTCGTAGAAGACGCCAAACAGCCAGATGAAGACGAGCTGCGCGTAGCCTGAGCCGGTGTTGGTCTCGCCGGAGTTTTCGTAGACGGCACCGGTGATGGTCCAGCACACGAACGAGCCGACCATGCCTGCGACGGTTAGTTTGATGATGGAAAGGACGAGTTCAAGGGAGACAAACCGGAGATAGAGGTCAGGAACAGAGGACGACGACCGAAGTTGTCGACCTGGGTGGCGGCGGCGACCGTGACAATGATATCGAGGATGGTCTTGCCGGTGCTCAGGGCCAACTTCTGGTTCTGGTTGGTGATACCGGCACCCTCGTAGATCTGGTTCATGTAGTTGGAGAACAGAGCATTACCCGAGTACTGTGAGATGATACCCAGAGAGACGATAATGGCCAGACGCCACAGGTTACCCTTGGTGCGGAAGAAGTCGATGTAGCTGCTCTTCGAGCCGGCCTCCTTCTCCAGACGGATCGTCTCCTTGATCTCACGGTATTCGAACTGCACGACGGTGTTGAGCACGTCGCCCCCACCGTGGTACTCTGTGAGAATAGCGAGGGCCTCTTCGTGGCGCTCCTTGTTGATGAGGTAACGAGGAGATTCGGGGATCCCTAGAGGCCACCCCGATGAGCAATACTCGACGAATAAGGCGGCACAGAGGATGACTTACAGTAGATAAAAATGAGCTGGATGACTGAGGGAATAATCTGCAGCAACGTGATCGATCGCCAGGACCACTCGCTCGTGACGTACGAGGTGCCCCAACCAATGACGGAGACGAGCAGAGCACCGGCGTTCCAGAGACAGTTGTAGATGGTAGTAACGGGACCACGGTGCTGAGGATGAACGATCTCGACGAGAAGCAGAGGAGAGCACATCTGGGCCAGGGAGTTGCCGAAACCAAGGATGAACCGACCAGCGATGTACATGTTGTAGCCGGTGGAAGCAGTGCCGACGATACCTCCGATGACCATGAAGATGCACCCAATGATGATGGCAATTTTACGGCCAAAGCGATCGGCAATGTATGGACTAGATGTCGGCGTCAGAGTCAGAGTTTGCTGCTCATGGCCAGGGGCTGTGGAACGTACGTGATGAAGAAACTGATAATGGAACCAATGTTGAACATGTTCACCAGGAGACCCAGCCAGTTGCTCTCCTTCACCTTGGGGGAGAAAAACTGGGTCCAATTGTCCATCATCTGGGAAGTATTGACAAGCATGCTATAATTGAAGATGGTTAGTTCTGTAATCGCCTTGTCCCAGCAGAGATACCTACCCGTCGTAACCGGTGGTGGCCGAAGCAACCATCAGCGCCGCCGCCATCATGTACAGCTTGCGCAGGTGAGGCTCCCTCTTCCAGTCGACTTTCTCGAACTGGGGAGCCTCAGCCTGGGCCATCTGCACCTTTTCCGCTGCGCCCTTGGCGCCGATGTTGGCAATCTGAACCATTGTGACTGCGTTGCAAGCAAATGCACCTCTGAGACGAACACGAGAGGACTGATCGAGAGCCAGAAAATGGCGGGGTAGCAGCTACATATTATAGCACTGAATCTGGGGAGAGACACGAGGATGGAGCACGCTGCCCTTGACCCGGCTTGGTCAAAGCTTGGGACGAAGCATAGCATAGCAAAAGGCCTGCAGGGAAAAATATGAACGCCACCAGGTGGCAGGAGTGATTGGTGTGTGATGAATTGAGCCGGAGACAACCTCGTCTAGGTGTCTAGCGTGATATCCGGGGAACGGCAAGAACGAACTGGATAAAAGGAGGGTTGCAGACTGGGATCAGGATGGACTAGGCGAGCAGTGCCCATGAGGTGATTGGACTGATCCAGCAGGCCAAGGAGCGCCTGGACAAGCTAATACCACGGCCAGAGCGCTTGGCGTCTCGCTTGCAGCTGACACTTTTTCGGCTGGACGGGCCGCATTCTTTTTGTCCAACTTTGCCAGTATGTTTGCTGTTGAGAAGTTTGTGAGATCGAGAAGTGTATATGAGGGTTTTCATTTTTGCTATCAAGTTATTTCGTATGTTCTCCTCTGATATGACAATTCTCTTGTATCTGAAAGGACGGAAGACCTGACTGAATTTCTCCGTGTCCGGAGACTTGGCCTGTTGGTCCTGGGCAGGTCCACCAGTCCCCGTGTCTCTCCACCGGGTAAAAGAGCGGATCTTCAGGATAAACTCGAGCAGAGGCACACGTCTTTGGTTAGTTCTCCGGTTTGAGTTTGATCCCCGCATTCTTCTGTTGGAGCAAATGAAATCTTTTTCTGTCCATGTGCTGTCCACCTTTACCCTGTCAGCCCAGCCCGGCTTCCAGCCGAGGTCTGATTAGTGAAGCCCGTACAGCATAGCTTAGCCTGTCTACACTACAATTCTGGATTCAACAGCCTGTACGGAGTATTATTCAGTTCTACTGGGGTCGGGATGCTTTCAGCCTGGAGAGACATGTCATGAGTCTGTCAGACACGCGGTCTCAATAATTTCAAGTTCGAAATACATCGACAAAACGGGCTAATACGGTAATATGCAATCACACGAGATTCTTCCGGTTAGACGAGGCCAATCCTCTCAATTTGAAACAGTATATGCTTCGTGTCCTCCGCAGATATCACCCCATCGGTACTTGCCACAAGACATCCAAGGTTAATTCCACTGATCAAATGAGATTCAGCGGCGATATTAACAGGGTCTTTGGCTCCTCCCCAACACGAATCCCAGCCATAGTCTAGTAAGCCTCACGCCACTGCTGGAATTCCCAGCATGAATCAACAGTCATAGCCCAAAATACGAATGTACTTTGTAACGATTCTTTGCTCACCACGGGCCGTTACGCCGGCACACGAAAGTTGCACGTACACAGCAACATTGGGCCTCTGGGCTATTTTCAGTTATGCCTTACCTCTCAAAATAGTGGCGACATGGTAGACTAAGCGAACATTGCTAGTCGTTTCTCGTCGAGCATGTGAACTTCGAGCCATGTGGCCCTGTGGTAGTCATCTGGGGGCATGATCGGATGGATCTCGGTCAGAGTTCAGGCCGCATATTGCTCGAGAGTCTGGCCCGATGAGCTGTAGAACCGGGAACCCGTGACAGACACGGCGCAGACTAGACTGGAGAGCACAGAAGATTTCTTCCCCGGGCCAGAAAGAACGGCAAGCTACTGGTTTACCGGTTGTTAGTTGAGTGGAGCTCTTGTTTAGGCTATCAGAACAGCTGACTCTGACAGCTCCTGTGGCAATCTCGGTGGATGGATCAGAGGCAATCAGGCAGACTTTGATTTAGGCGGCTATTGCACCAGCAGTGTACTTGCATTTCGGCTCTGGCAATTGGTCCACAGCAGATTAACCAGGATGTAGCTATTCTTTCTGAAATTCTGGATGGATTGCTGCTTGCTCGTCTCGCCTCTTGTCCCTCATTTCCTGTCGGCCAGCCGCCGACTTCTCTTCTGGGAAGGTTCAATCCCTGTTTGGCGGCCCTACAGGTCTTGATCCAGAGCAAACATAAAGACATGCACCAATAGCGTGCATCAGGCAATAATAGTTCCGTTGGTACGTCTGTGCGGTGATTCCAAATAGTTAGCTAACTATTGTCTACTGCTGAGTAAGGCAGTAGAGCTCAGATGACTGATTTTTTGGCCCCCGGGAGGCTAGAGCAGCGCATCTGCCGACAAGCCGACAAGGAAGACAGTTGTAGGCAATGAGGCGATTCACAGACATAACAACTGGCCATTGAATGCTCATGAAATTTGTTGGCACCAATGTGGTCTCGATCCTATTGACATTGAAAGCATTGGAATGAGCCTGCTTGATCGGCAATGAGGGACCGGTCGTTCATCCCCTCTACGATCCTGCCATCCGAGTGTATTTCTCGGACTCCATGGCCGGTCTGTGGCATTCGATCAGTTATCTGGTAGATAATCCTATCCCGTCTCGTTAGATTGGTGTGGCGCATTGGCATTTCACAAGGCTCTCCTGAGTCTCTCACCTTCACATCGACTGAGGGGGAGCCTGACTGGAAAACCCTGGGTTCCATATAGCCTAGAGTCTAATTTGCCAGAGGCGATCTCTGAATTCGGTTAATAATAGCTTCTGTTCAATTTCGAGCTGCGGTTGTTCTGCTATGTCTAAGACATTGCTTACCACATGCATCAGCGTCTCCTTGCTGCGTGGATCCGTCTGAGCTCTTGCTGTAGACCGCTTAGTTCCATTTCTTGTCACCGACAAAGCGATACATCTGACTAAATGTGTCGTCTATAGAGTTTTTGACACTTTGCTCGATACCTTTGCCGTTTCGATGCCACTCTCAGACACGAGTCCAAATCACTTCGATCCTGAAATAGTTCCGATGTCCTAAAATGTATCTTCACTAGTCCTGGAGCTTCGAAATCAGCACATGCGAATAATCGTAGGGGACTTGAAAATGATACCTTCTTATTCGGTACCAATTCCGTTGATGGATTGATTATACGGAGTCGTGGTACTTATGGTCTCTTATTTACGAAAAAACGCCGCGTGGACGCTGCAATTAATCTCAGCCCACCTCAACAACCTCCTTGACGATCTCTACGATCATCTCGCAAGGTAAGCTTGCACATCAATGGGCCACTCACAATATAACAATTTCTTCTGACCTTTCCAACCACGGCCCTCACACAGTTCCAGGTCGAAATTCCAAAAAGCATCCGTGCAAGTATCACCCGCATCTCAGTGTAAGCCAAGTTCCTGCCAACGCAATTCTGCGGCCCGATCGAGAATGGCTGGAAGACGGTGCGATTGTCCGAAAAGAATGGCGAGGCAGGGTCGTCGATCGGGGTAGCTATCATTCAGGGATAAAATGGTCTGCTTGGCGGAAATTCCTCAGTGGCGAATACGCAGACAACTCGCGGACGGAGGCTTTGATCTGAGAATATCAGTCTCGACCCGTTATATTCTCAATGTCGAGCTACATTTGCAGGAACGCAGTAGCCCGAGGTTTGGGCAGGCACTTCCGTCCAACGCTGAACCCCTCCTGACGGAGGAGGATACAGCCGAAAGGCTTCGTTCAGGCATCCCAGATGTATGGTAACCTTCCCGTGACCTGGTTGAAAGTTATATCCTTCTGCGATGCAAAGATTCCTCTCACTCGTCCGTCTCCTTATCGAGCACATCGGAGGTCCGAAGAAGCCAGGACGTAACGCCAGACAACCGCGCAGCCGTAGTCTCACTCCCAGCCAGAATGGGGATATTCGCATTTTTCTCCAGCTCCTCCAGACTCAGCCTTTCCTTATCCCCACGATGTCGCAGCATCGAGTCCATAAAGTCTCCGCGACCAGCCGCCGAGTTATGCACCCGTTTATGGACAGTTGCTGTCGCATGCTCGACCTGCTATCTCCTCGCCTCCATGAACCCTCCCGGGTGAAACGCGAGAACCACCTTGAACACCACCGGATGCTGATGCAGCCCTCGCAGAAATGGAATCGCCTTCACAGACCCAAACATCGTCGCCACTCAGTGATGATAATCCGAGCTATCCAACCCCCCAAACGGCTTGCCAAAAGCAAGATCTCCTACGTCATCATATCCGCCCCCCTCCCAGGCCCTCCGACTCCGCGAACGCCCTCAGTCGCTCGATCGGTTTATCGATGTACCGTGTGAGATGCAATCCTGTGCCCGCAGGCTCTTGGCCGAAAATGCTTGCGAGAGCGCCTTCTGGAAACGAACATGCTCCACGTCGTTGGCGCTGAAGATGTCCTTGCCTCTGTCGGTGGAGATTTGCACTTTCGGGAGCTGGCGATGGCCGTGTCGATAGGTATCCTTCCAGGCTGCCGCGGTGATGTAGGAGGCCTCGTCTAGACCGGAGCGTACGAGGTTGCTGCATTTTTCATGCCAGGAGCGGAGGTCTAGGTCTGGTCTTCCGCGGATGGCTGAAAGGTGCTGAGCAGCGGAAATGCGATCGATCATTTGGTCCGGGGATGGGATGTGGCTTAGTGGATGGAAGTAGATGGTTCTGATGGCTGATAAGAGTATGTAAGAGATGTAAAGCAACGACGCAGCTGTGAGTATTATGAGTATCGTGCCTTATTATCCTTATCGGGAGGTTATTCATATGCAAAACTGTGTCATTGTACCATCAGGTCAGTTGGCAATCTACCGACACAGCGGCAGGTTGTTTCGCATTCTGCAACCGGCGTACAGTTGAGCACTGTGGCAGATTTCTGCTAAGAGTCCTGTTAGTTTGAGACCTTGATTCTTCTTCGCTCTTGTACAAGCTTGCTGTAATACTAGCGCGTAACTTCCCTGAAAAGCAATGCTTATTTCAACCTGTATCACCATACATGTGGGCGCAAGTGATATGAGAGTGCCCAGCCAGGGCTGTTTCGCAATCTGCAAGATACATACCAGGAGGCAGATACAGTCTGAAAGCCTATTTTAGCCTCTAAAGATGGTTTTATTGCCTACGGGCGAAGTAGTCAAGGCGGAATGTATATCCGTGCGATCGGATACAGAAATGGAATCTCAAAAAGATCACAAATACTATTGCACGATTTCCTGACATTGTCGAAGAGCATTACCTAACAGAAACGCGCCGTACCTAAATAACATGGCAAGTCAAGGAATGGCTGTTCAAGCAATATGCTCCGCCGTTCCCATATTTCCCTCCTCCTCCTTTGATATGTATTCCCGCTGATTGGCAAACTCTGCCCACTATATTAGAATAGGAGACATGGAGCAAGGGGAGGAGCAACGTACGGTCCACTTTAGTGTACTTGAACTTTCTTGCGGGCACGCGGTGATGGAAGAGCAAGTCAATCTCTCCAAAGGTGCGGTCCTTGGTCTCAGGAAGACGGAACCAGCACCAGATGTTGCAGAGAAGGTTGGTGCCAGCATAGAAGAGACCTGTTTTTGCTCCCCAGTTCCATGCTGCAATGCCAAGGTCAGCGGTTTTCATCTAGTAAAAAGAGTGGAACCTTACCAGAGGCAGCAATCATGCGTGGTGTAAGCGAGTTACTGAAGATGCCCGTCAGGTTGTACACGAACCTCCCAATCACAATCGTCTTATATCTTAACCGTCCCGAAGGTGTTTCGGCAACGATGGGGTAGCAGACCGGTCCGACGGTGATCATGTTGACGAGAGTCGAAATGACCAGGAGAACGGCGATGGCCAACTGTGCGCCCTTGCTGCCTTCCGCGAAGCCAAGGCCACCGATGATCACTATGCAGACAAACATGAACGCTAAGCCGCTCATATAAATAGTTGCTCGGCCGAAGTGCGGGAAGAGAAGCCAGCAGATGACTCCGCCGATGATGTAGCATGCAGAAAGGGAGATGTTGACATCGAATGCTTGCAGTTCCGTAAATCCAGCAGCTTCGAGAAAGACAACCGAGTAGCCGAGGATGGCATTGCCGCTGAGGGTTTGAGCCGCCCAGACGACACAATTCTAGTAGACTGGTTAACAAATAACGCCATTTTCGTAGCAAGGCTGGGGTCCAATCGAGTAACCTACAATTTCCGTTCGCCGCAAGTTCGTCCCCTTGAAGCATTCTAGGAAGCTTGCATTCTCTGTCTCAGCTTGCTCCAACTTCGTGGTATGCTGAATATACGCCAGCGTAGCCTCGACCTCGCGCTCTTTGTCTGGAGTATCCTGTCGAAGGCGTTTCAAGCTCTTTCTCGCCAGGTCGACCTTGCCCCGTCGGACGGCATTCCAGGGCGATTCGGGGGCCAGGTACGCTCCTATGAACAGGGGAATAGGCCAGACCCACTGTAGAACAAATGGTAGCCGCCAGCCTAGATCTCCTTCGACGCTAGCGACGGCACGAACAACACCGGAAGATAGAAGAATGCCAGCACCCCAGCACATGCAGACATAGGCTGTGACGTACGGCCGTAGGACGGTGGGGACAACTTCGCAAGCATATGTAGTCGAGAGGGTCTATTAAAGAAATCAATATTATGCATGGAACAGTTAAGGTAGACGAACCTGGAAAACTCCCCAAGAGACGCCGCACATCGCCTCACCCCAGGCCAGGATCGGCAAGGAAGGCGCAAAGACCGGGATGAAGATCATAACCGCCATCCAGGCCATGAAGAACATCATTGTCGGTCGACAGCCAAACCGGTCCTGAGTGTAAGCGTTGACGAGCAACCCGGCCAACTGTCCTACCATGGACGAGTTCGACAACCCCGACTGCCATGCCGCTGTGATACCTTTGGTTCCTGTCTTGGCTGAGAACTCGCCGAACCGTTCAATAAACTGCGATTGGCCGTAAAAAGAGGTGATCTGTCAATCCTTGTGTTAGCTTTTACTCCTCCTAATCAAGGGAGAAGGAATACTGACAATGACAAGGTCATATCCCTCCATAATCAAACTTGTAGAAAGGAACATGGCCCAGAAGACGGCCTTTTTGTATTTTGACAGAGCTTGTCTCACGGTGAGTAAGCGATCAGCAGCATCACTTTCCTGCGCATGGCGGATGAGTTCGACCACATCGGGGTTGCCGGGGTTGAAGTTTTTCAGCTCGTTCTCAGACGGGACAACCGTCTCGTTGCCCATGCTGACGGTATTCAGATGGGATGATCACCGATAAGTTTGTTGCTAATTCCAGTGAGTGGAGATGATGATCCTAGTGTGCTTGACGATCTGGGGAAACGGGGCGTTATAAAGACCATGGGGGTCGATCGTATCCCCGCCGGAAGCAAGGAGAAAAGCAGACCTCAATGGCCTCGTAAGGTTTCTCTCCACCTCCCCCGGAATGCCATGATGCTGTAGATGGCACACCTTTTGCCACAGACGCGACGGTGAAATAACTACTAATGTGTTAATAAGGAACGGAGTCACCCGCTGGGTTCTCTCTGCCTTTTTGTTCCCGTTCTGGACCAGAAACCGTGTACGGACCGACCCCAGACTGTGCGGGGAAAGTTCCTGGGGTGGAGTCCCGAAAGAACCCCACTGATAATGTCGTTGGGAAAGAGCCGTACGGAAGACTTATATGGCCAAATTCCGATAGACATAAAAGCAAGGTAGTTTATCCTGTTTCGCGGCACGCAATTGCCTAAGCTCATGGATAGCACAAGCTGGAAGCAATAAGATCGAGCTATAAGACCGACGGCACGCATCCTTGGGCCCAGAATGCGGAAAAGTCCCGGCGGACTCTCGGGTGGTCCAATGCAGCCGATTCGCCAGTCTTTGTGAACGGACATAAGCGTGGGACACTGCCTGACAAGGATCTGAAACCAATCATTAGGAGATATATAGAGCTTGACAACCGTATGACGGAGGATAGGTCCCGGTGTCCTTGGCTCTGACTGAGAGTCAGGACAGAGTCACATGCCTCCTAGTTATGTCCGGGCCGCTGACTGTGAGTCGACAGTAATCAAAGGTGGTGTACAAACAATGCTCTGGGATCAAGGATGTCTGTATCCTTTTGACTCTCGTCCGTTAGCTGCGCAGAGAAGTTGTGGTAAGTGGGAACATGCCACGGTCAAACTTGTTCAGCTAGGTGGTCTCCAAGCAGCCGCTCTCGTTGTAGGAAACATGTACACCGACTGCAGGGCTCTATTATGCACTCCCTTCTTCGCAGCTTCTCAAAGCAACGAGAAAGGATCGGTTGAATGCCTTAGGAATGCAGGAATTGGGGGCCTATCTGCGGTGGGGCGCAACATGTACCCAACTGCAGGACTCTATCATTCACTCCCTTCTTTGCATTCTATTGTACGAAGAACAAGTCAGTATCTACTCGTCACTTCAATATCGACGAAGGGTCTACGTTCTATCATGCCATGCGATCGCATTGTTGACCGGGTGGATGAAACATCTCAGCGCTCGCTGAAGCCATACCGGGAACCTTCGGGCTCCGATGGACCCATACGCCTATGGTGCCGTAACCAGAGACGACTTTATCGATAATTTCGCACGTTGACCCTCCTGGCTCACTCCGCTGGCCCTTAAAAGACCTGCCAAGTTCTTCGAGGAATAGAAGTCATCGGAATCAACACTCATCCTCAGTCCCAGCACCTCTTTATGATCTTGCCTTGTCCCATACTCCCGTTTTAAACATGAAGGCCTCTATCTGTCTCCTTCTTGCTACCCGGGCCGTTACGTCTCAGTCGCTTTCTGTCCATGATGTGTTACGTTCGCATCCAGGCTTACACTAGAACAGTATAACTGACAATGGATAGATCGGTTACGACAAAAAAGCCAAAGAAGTGACTATAAGCCCATGCTATTCTTATAAAAGTCGGCAACACGGGAAGGCAACAGTGGGATCGGTGCCCGGATTGCACAATCACAGTCGATAATAACGTCCTTCACTATTGCGAAACGGAGGGACAACACATGGGGGAGATAAGTGGCATTACTACTGCAAGATGCACGGGGCGAGCGATAGTGTGGCGTGATGAAGGGAGCGTTCGGACGAGATTGGTGGGATTGTGCTTCTGGATATTAAAAATAATTCCAGGAATAGGAGATGTGGAAATGCCGATCAGAGAACATAAAAAGAAGGGCTGTATGCAGTGCCTGCAGTAAGCTAATCCTGAGTGTCTCGAACGTGTTGTAGTCTGTAGCAAGCGGCTTCGCATGACCTGCGGACAGGGTCATCTGATGGACAGGCGGTTTTCGCTGCCTCAAATGCTGTGTTGAATATGTCCCGCGCAGTACGCAACTCTCCCTGGCGCTCATAGAGCACTCCAAGCGTAAACATACTCCATAGCGTCGAGGGGTCATCGGGACCCAACACCTTCCGCTTCATATCAACCAGAGAAATGTTTAGTTCCGTCGCCTCGGCACTCTTTTCCTGCCATGCCAGCACATTGACCAGGTCTGCCATGCTAGCTATTGTCCTGGAATGTTCAGGACCTAGTACCCTGACTCGTCCCCGATACGCCTGCCGATTCAGGTCTTCCGCCTCGGCGAATGCACCGCGTTTCTCTAGTACGCCGGCCAAGTTACTGTACGTTGACAGTGTATTCGGATGATCAGGTCCCAGGACCAAAAGTGATCCCTCAAGGACGTCTCGGTGGATTTCTTCGGCGGAGGAATTGTGACCGCAGCTCTGTAGCACGCCCGCCAGGTTGTTCAGTGACGTAAGCGTGTTGGGATCTACAGTATCTAGGGCGTGCTTGTCTTTCCATTGTCTTCTAGTCTCGGCTGCGCGTCTTGCGATATCACCAGCAGCATCCGTGCGGCCATGCTCCAGCATCAGCACCGCAAAGCTGCTCATACACTGTAGCAAGTCCGAGCTATTTCGTCCGTTCAGTGCCACCTGTCGATCGATGGTCTCTCTGAACAGCGATTCCGCCTGCTCTCCTCGGTCTGTCTCCAGCAGGAGCTCGCCCAGGAACCTTACACTATCCATGGTTTCAGGATGCGTGACGCCCAGCAGGCCCTCGCGAAGTTCCAGTCCCTGTCGAAATAGGCCTTCTGCCTCCGCGTAGTCGTGTTGAGCCTTCATCACTCGTGCCAAATTCGTCATGCTGGTAATGCTGGAACTGTGTTCTTCGCCATAGTGTGCAATATACGCCCTCAAGGCCCGTTCTTGCATCCGACGCGCGGCGTCATATTTCCTTTGCTTTTGTAAGAGTAACCCAAAATCATTGAGAACCCGCAAGGTAACAAGGTCATCGCCCCCGAGGACCTCGTCGGCAGTTTGCAGGATGTTTTCGTACATTGTCGCAGCTTCATCATCGCGGTCCTGCTGCTTCAAGGTCCCTGCCAGTGTAGTGGCTGTTCTCAATGTTTCGCGATGGCCATCCCCAAGCAGCTGTTTCTGCCCGTCCAACGCACGTCGTGCGGTTTCCTCGGCTTGCATCAATTGGCCCCTCTCCCAGAATGCCTCCGCGGCGCGGCTGAGGTCTTTCAGACTGTCTTCTTGGTTGGCTGTTGCGAACATGTTGGTGGCCTGTTTTCGAGGGTTGACGTTGTGAGAATTTCATCACCGATGGAGGGGAAGACCCGCATTTTAAAGGATCATCCCTCGTATTCTTGGACTTGGCATCAGCCAATGTTTTCAGTCACGATCCACGACGATAAGACATTTCAACATAGGGATTTTTTATGAATAAGCCTTTGCTACTGATTGAAATCCTCCTTGGAGTTTAGTGAAGATTGCAAACTGTTCTTTAATGCGCGAGTAAAGACTGGCCGGGCATCTACTCTCTTCCGAATCCCCAGAGAGGTATATATATATATATATATATATACTAATTCAGAGTGTGAAACATCTCCATGTGCTGGTTTATACTGAAGCATACCTAAAGGAAATGACATCGATTAAACAACATTCTATCCACCCAGCAGTGGCCTTTTGATATCTTGAGACTACGAGCAAATTCCCCATGTGCATAACCCGAGCTTCTACTTCCCAATCACTGGCCGATTCAATAGATAAACAAATCCTTCCTTGATGCCATTGAGCAGGTTCAGTATGCGAGCACGATGTTTCAACCCACTGTTACAGTACCAATCATCATCTAATAATAGCTCCTCGATCCCCAGGCACAGTCCCGACCAGTTTACTGCAGTTCTGGCCTTGATCAGGTCGTCAAGTTCAAACAATAGCTGAGTGTTGCATCGCGCTTGCCAGTAAGTGTTAGGCAATCTCCATTGAAAGGCTTCCAGTAGATTTCGTGTATCGTTAATGCGCTGTTGACAACGAGGCTGAGTCTCATAGATCAAATCCACCATAGTCACCGCAAGATCCAGTGGCAGGCAGGAAACCCGTGACTGGATGGTCTTCTGTCCTTGACCGGGATCGTCTCGTTGCGAAAGAAGATTTTGAGTGATCAAGCGCTGTATGTCAGGATTTCTCAAAGGACTCCCAGGGGTATGCCACTGCGTGACCTCCTCGAGCTCCTCAGCACTGAGTTCCGGAGTACGTGTACGCTGCTCTGCGGGCCAGTGTGGGCCATTATTATTATTGCAGAGCCCATCGTAAGACAAATGGTCTAAGAAAATACCCCAGTGCTTTTTGTTTCCCCCCCAAAACCCTTCGACAGCGCGGAGGAATGCATGAAGATTTGACATGATGAGATCATGTCCAACAAAACGGTCGAGGAGCAGCCAGCAGTGGGCATGAATCGGATACCCGATGGGCTCCCCTGCCTCTCGATTCCAATCTGGTTCGAATAGATTCGCCATGTGGAAGTCGGCATTCCAATCGTCCTCGTCTAGTGCCAAGTTCCGGATGGAGGCCCTCTGGGGGTTGCGCGGGACGGGGCGTGGCCAGAAGTTAATGGAAAGACCGTTTGAGATTCCAGATAAGAGAATCTGACTTGTCTTTGGATCTTCAAGAACTAGATAAGTTAACTTAATCAGTAAGATCATCTCTCTGACACGCTATCGAAATGATGGCTGACTTGCTCGAAACCAGAACGACCACAGATACGGATATTTCACAAAGTCCGTCTGCTCCAACTCTTGGGCTGGGACAATCACAGATTCTCCCCAATCCTTGTTCGCAAGCTCTCCCCAGTCCTCTCGCTCCTCGAATACTTCGTCAATAACGTAAATTGGAAGATCAGCCCCACAGATCACACAGCAGAGCACCGGATCTACCTTTTTTGGAAAAGCCGTGCAGCGCCTTTTGATACCCAGCTTACCCAGCTTACCCATCTTGCTCTCTAACACAAAAATATATGGCTACTGACAAAATGCGCCGTGCAAGAATGCAAGAAGAATTTGCAAACATCAAAGATGATGTCATGTTTAGCCGTTGAATGCCCATACAAGATAATAGTGATGTCAATGGATATGAAGCTCATCCATTACCTGTTTACCAACTTAATACTGCTGCAATAGTTAAGCTTGAGAAAATAGTAGCTTAGCTTAACTTAAAAAAAAAGCCCAGTAGTCAATTCCGTACGTGATCCGCGTAGAATAAAGGGATTGGAATCCAGGAGGCCGGGGGTTGATCTTGAATAGGAAATAGATGGATGTGGCCCTGCAGTCAATTATACTCAAAAGTCCTGTTGGCTAGATACTGGGCCTCTTCATCAATAAGGATGCACCCAGCAACCAGTGACTTCCTCAGAGCATCATAGAAGAGATACATCATTCCCGTCCACCACAGCAGTTTTACACTCGAGGGATTAACAGTCTGCGCGACGTCTCCCATTAAAAGTATTAACCTTGAGATGTAGAGATGGCCAATGATTGCTGATGATCGGTAGAGTCTATTCAATAGGCGTATCGGTAATATAGGCAATAATTTGGACGAGGGAAGAGGAACGGGAGACAGATATAAATATCGCGTAATTGTTGCGGCATGATATGCACGCTTGTTAGATGACAGAGTGGGAAGAAGGCCATTTTCAAATATGACGCTAATCATGGCAAAGAGGGCCAAAAAGCTAAGCCTTTTAGTGGAATAGTGGCTTTTTTGCTTGACTGATTAGGGGCCTTGACACCCAAAGGAGTGACTCAGAGATCCCCTGTAGCCCCACGTGACATCAGCACGAGTCCCATTGTTATCATCAATGAACCTCTGGAGAAGTTAATCTTGGCTGGAATTCAACAGGGTGTCTATGAGTAAGGTCTCTAATCTCTGCTTTGACATCTTTCACTTACGTCGGACCATCTAGCGGGTTTGACCGCCATCCCAGGTCCTTGTTGTCATTCCTGGTATCGCCTGAAATTCCAAAACACAGGATGTCTTTATCATGTCTACAAGCGGATCACTCCTGGGGGCCGACTTTGCCAACACCTTGTCATGGAGGGTTTGACTTCACCATCTACTTTGAACAAATCTGGCTTTCAGCTGTGCCATCAATCTTGTTCTTAGTTTCCGGCGGTCCTCGGCTGTGGCAGCTCTGCCAAGCTCCCGTGGTGATCCACCAATCGAGGAGTCAACTGGTCAAATTGGTAATACAGCATTTTCAGCATTTATATTGGAGTCAGCTGACTTGGTCCTTTGTTTGACTCTATTAGGGCACTATCAGCCTCCTAATCGTTCTTCAATTGATACTGCTCCCCCTCTGGTCTTTGAGGACATCCCTCCAATCATCTGCTTCCATCCCAGCTGCTGTCTTCTCGTTGGTGGCTGCACTTGGGCTTGCTCTTCTCTCCTTTTATGAGCACCAGCGATCTGTCAGGCCGTCCACGTTGCTTAGCATTTATCTTGTCTTTTCAGTCCTGTTTGATGCCGTCCAAGCTCGATCATTATGGCTTCGCAGCACCAACGGTCCGATCGCAGCTGTATTCACTGCGGCGTTGGCGGTTAAATTGATCATCACCGTCCTGGAAGGACGAGAGAAACGAGCAATTTCACCAGTGCCAGGCATCAAATTGTCGCCTGAGACCACCAGCAGCATATATAACCGTACAGTTTTCTGGTGGTTGAACCGTCTGCTTCTCGCTGGTTACAAGAGTACCCTGCGCTTGAACGACTTGTATCCGCTTGAATCTGATATGACCTCAGCAAAGCTAGGCGCTGCCATAGAAAATGCCTGGATGAAAGGTAAGGAAGCGAACTGAGTGCTATAGCAGCAACAAGACTAATATCGACCAGCCAAGCAAACAAGGCCGTATGGTCTGCTTTTTACAACTGCAGTCGCACTGAAATGGGCTTTGCTCTCCCCAGTGGCCCCTCGTATTGCGCTTATCGGCTTCAAATACTGCCAACCACTCTTGCTGGCGAGTGTGGTCAATTATGTGCGGCTCCCAGATCCAGACCGTGACAGAAATGTCGGCTACGGTCTGATCGGAGCGACAGCCATCGTGTACATTGGAATTGCAGTAAGTTTGCAAACTAGCACGAGAGCTGAGATGGATGGTGCTGACCCTATCGTTTAGGTGAGCACTGGACTTTACAATCTCAAAGTATACCGATCCACCGTCATGATACGCGGCTCGCTTGTAAGCATCATCTACCGCAAAACCTTGAGACTACATCTAAACGAAGCCAAATCTTCGGCCGCATTAACTCTGGCGAGTTCGGACGTGGATCGTATTGGCCTAACCGTTGAAAGTGGCCATGAGATCTGGGCCAGTAGCATTGAAACCATATTAGCCCTGGTGCTGCTGCAACGCCAATTAGGCTGGGCCAGTATTGCCCCTGTGTTACTCGCTTTGCGTACGTCTGAAGTCCATTCAATCTCCCATGCATCGCTTACTAATAGCTCAACTCAGTGGCTACCGCCGCAAATACGCGGATTGCAAAGTATGTCCCACGGCGCCAACGGGAATGGGGCGCAGCGATCCAGAAGCGTATAACTCTAACATCAGCAGTACTCAGAAATATGAAAAGCGTCAAGATGATGGGCCTGCAGGAGACGATTGCTCGGACGATCCAAAGGGCCAGGATCTACGAGCTGGATTTGTCGAAGCGCTACAGGAGTTTCTTTGCGTACATGGCCATTATCTGTTGGTTCTTCTCCTGAGAACACAGGCATTTGAACTGATCTCACGATTTTAGCAACCATACCTTTGCAATTTTCTGCGCCGTTCGCATTTGCCCTCTATGTATATGGTGTCAAATCACACCATAGACATGACTCCGTCGCAGCACAGATATTCGCCTCACTTTCATTGACTCAACTGCTGGCCACTCCTTTACAAAAGGTCTTATCTTCCATTCCGTCATTTGCAGGGTCCCTCGGCTCATTCGCACGTATCGAGGCTTATCTTCGGCTTGACGATCGTGTCGATGGCAGAAATTCCGACTTTGCAAGTAGCCGAGAGAGCGCAAAGGAGTCAATTATAGACGAAAACCAGCTTGAATTGGGGAACTTGCTCACAACAGGGCAAAGCAAAGCTATCGGTAAACGTGCAATTTCAGTGCAGGAGGCCGACATTTCCTACTCCGCGGACTCACATCCAATCCTCCACAAACACAACTTTGAGATTCCAAAAGGCCTCTTAAACGTAGTCGTCGGCCCTGTGGGTTGTGGAAAGACCACACTGCTCAACGCTCTCCTCGGCGAAATTACGATCTCCAGTGGCAAAGTGATGGTGGATCATTCTCCAATTGCCTATTGCCAGCAAACCCCCTGGCTCATTAACGCCTCTGTCAAAGAGAACATCCTCAATCACTCTCCGTACGACCAAACTTGGTACAAGAGGGTGACTTGGTCCTGCGGACTGGACGAAGACATAGAACAACTGCCTGATGGAGATGCTACTCTTGTTGGAAGCCGGGGAACCAGTCTAAGCGGTGGACAGAAGCAGCGGCTGGCCCTTGCCCGGGCAGTCTACGCTCGAGCACCATTAGTCATCCTGGACGATACCTTGAGTGCTCTCGATGCCCGAACTGAGAAACTGGTTTTTGATCGTCTGCTGTCGAAAACAGGACTCTTCCAGCAGCTGGAATTGACGGTTATGCTGGTCACTCACTCAGTGCAACATCTTCGATCTGCGGACAATATCATTGTACTGGATTCAAAAGGACGTATGGAACAACATGGCTCATTCACAGAGCTTAGCGGGCGAGAGGGACCCGTTCGACGCCTGCTAGCTGATTGTCCTCCAGACAAGAACAGTGCAGAAACAAACAGCTTGGAACCATCTTCTGGTTCAGTTTCTTTAAGCCGAACTGGAGGAGCAAATGTGTCATTGCCGCGTGCTGCTGCTACGCCGGGCGTAAAAAGGAAGCCTACATCGGATTCAGCTGTCTTGATGTATTACTTGAAGTCCATTGGATGGTACCGTGCGTCGATATTTCTCCTTACAAGCCTGGCGTATGTGTTCTGCACCAGCTTCACCCAAATATGGGTCCAGTGGTGGACGGAATCCAAGAATCGCGGTGATGGGTCCTTCCTAGGGGTCTATTTTGCTCTGGCGGTTGGAGCCGTCGTGAACTATAGTTCGTCCATCTGGTGCATGATGATCTCTATCGTGCCCATTTCAGCAGCGAAACTGCATTGGCAGCTTCTTGATTCCGTTATTCATGCGCCCATGTCATTCTTCTCAACTGTAGACTCGGGGATCACCCTCAACCGATTTAGTCAGGACATGTCGCTGATCAACAGTCGCCTCCCTGTATCTACAATGCAGGCAACACCGATGGCTTTCCAAGCGTTAGCACAGATCGCCCTTATAGCCGTTGGGTCTACCTACTTGGCTATTGCTATTCCCTTGTGCCTCGGTGCAACATGGGCACTACAGCGATTCTACCTTCGGACGTCGAGACAGCTGCGCTTACTGGACCTGGAATTAAAATCTCCCTTGTTCTCAAGCATCTCCGAGACCCTCGAAGGTCTCCCGACGATCCGCGCCTTCGGCTGGCAGGAGAAATTCGAACGACGTAATCAGGAACGGCTGGACGCCTCGCAGCGTCCAGTCTACCTCCTCTACTGCATCCAGCGCTGGCTGAATTTTGTCCTTGATCTCATAGTCGCAGCGCTGGCAATTCTGCTGGTGAGTCTGGCGACTCAGTTGCCGAGCAGCACAAGCGGGGGCCGTCTGGGTGTTGCAATGCTCAGCATCCTCGGCTTCAGCCAGAGTTTGTCCCAGTTTATATTCTTCTACACAGACTTGGAGACGTCGTTGCAAGCGGTTTCTCGGGTTAAGGAGTTTGTGGAAACGACCGTGTCGGAAGAGGCGGGCCCTGGGTCTCTGACTGCGCCCCCAGAACACTGGCCTGTTCGCGGCGCGGTGGAGTTTCAAAATATCACCGCTTCATATTCTAGTGACATGGACAGCCCTGTTCTCAATGGTATCTCGCTAGTCATCCAGACTGGACAAAAAGTTGGAATATGTGGCCGGACAGGCAGTGGGAAGTCCTCTTTGCTTTCTGCTTTGTTCTGCATGATTGAACTCCAGAGTGGCAGTATCACTGTTGATGGGATTGACCTCAACAACATATCTCGGCAGGAGGTGCGCTCACGGTTAATTGCGATCCCGCAGGATCCATTCCTGGTCCCCGGGACAGTCCGTTTCAATGCGTCGCCGGACGAAACAGTCGCTGACAACCAGATCACCGAAGCCCTCGAGAAAGTCGGGCTGTGGGAGCACGTTCAGAAACGCGGTGGCCTTGATACCGATATTGGCATTCTGTCTCTGTCGCATGGCCAGCAGCAACTGTTCTGCCTTGCGAGGGCAATTCTGAGGCCCGGCACTATTCTCGTACTGGACGAGGCGACTAGTAATGTTGACTGGGGAACAGATGAGGTCATGCAACGGGTTATTCGGGAGGAGTTTGCGAATAAGACAGTTATCACCGTCGCGCATCGTTTGAGAACTATTCTGGATAGTGATTTGGTGGTAGTGCTTGGTGAGGGATGTATTCTGGAGGTAGGCCATCCGGGGGAACTGCTTGCGACTCCAGGCCAATTTCGAGAATTGTGTAGTACCCAAGGCATCACCATTGACAGCTTCTGATGTACCGAGTTGTTGGGATGATAATTCATCTGACTATACACTACCTCTTTCCCACCGCCGCTTTATACAAAGAACTTGTGTACCAAGTACACCCCAATGCCTTAGAACCCTTATGCTACAGCTTCAAGACGTTTCCTAACTCTGCCGGAGCGATAAGAATGGCGACATGCTTTTTGCGAATATGTCGATCCTCTTCAAGACGACACCTGCGTTCATCGACGGTGGTGAGCAGGGACGAGGTATAGATAGTGTCCGTTCCCATTTCGATCATTATAGGTTCGATGCAGCGCGGAACGTAAGTCCGAAGCAATACCACCGGACTATGGTGAAGTAGAAAAGCATGAGTTCAAGGAGTGTGAGAACACAATCTTCTAAAAAGGTATAAGAAGAGTATTCCAAATTCGGGGAATAAATGCAATGCAGATCCCCAGACATGACGCATTTTGGGGTTGTGGGCCAATCGGATATGGCTTGGGGAGGCAAACATGTCATCGGCACATCATCACCCACGATCCCCGTATGGGACAAACCTAATTATCAGGTCTCTTTCGCCAGTTCAACAACAGCAGATAAACTGCTAACTCGGCTACTTCGGTCTTTCAGGAACATACTCCCACGCAGTGAACGATTCTGTTTAGTTTCTCAACGGGGGGATTGCACGGGATTAACCGGGAAACTCAATCAGCATTCTGCTGATCCGGATAGCTCACTCAGCTTCAGTCTTTGCGCCATGCAATATGACAGTGAATTTGCAAAGTGCAGTAATTATACAAGGATGAGTTGTACATGTCTTAGACTGAGCTTGTATGTCTACCATCAAATAGGCTGAGCCACCCGAGGCGTTCGAAACATCAGCCTATCGGCGTCGTCTCGGTGATTCATTTTTTTTTTTTTTGCGCTTTCGCACAAACCAGCAAAGTCTCAATAGGTCCATGACGAGGCTGGAACTCAATGTACCAAAACAGCTCGCAGCTCAGTCAGCATCAGCGGTCTGTGTTGTCGATCATCGAGCGTGTATGCTCATGCGTGTCTGTGTCTGCTTTGGCTATCGTGATTGCGACCTTTGTCAGCTCCAGGGAATTTCGCAAACCGATTAACCGCTTGATCTTCTATGCCGCGTGGGGCAATCTTTTGTCAAATGTTGCGACTCTTATCTCCGAGTCCAGTCTGCAACATAGTTCCCGAGGCGCCCTGTGCCAGTTCCAGGCGTTCATGATTCAGTGGTCAGTCGATACCCGTGGTATGACAGGATTCTTTGACTGATAATGGCCTATAAGGTTCATGCCAGCAGACTCCCTGTGGGCGCTCGCCATGGCTTGCAATGTGTACTTGGCGTTCTTCAAGCATTACGATACCAAACGTCTAAGGATGCTGGAGTGGAAGTATCTGCTTCTCTGTTACGGGCTGCCGTTTATCCCTGCATTTGTATATCTATTTGTCAGTTCCGAAACCAGGGGCAAGGTATACGGTGATGCTGTGGTAAGTCTCGTTGAAATCCTGCTTGGAGGTGTTAATATTTATCGTCATCAGTTATGGTGCTGGGTGTCATTGCCGTGGGAATTTCTCCAGATAGCCGTATTCTACGGACCAGTCTGGTTCATTGTCTTGGTCATCCTCGCCATCTACCTCCGTGTTGGCTTGAGTATCCGGCAACAACGACACGAACTGAGCATATTCGTCATGTCAGACTTCGAACATACCTCAGACACCACCGTGTTGGGAGACGTTGATCTCTCTGGAACAATACAACCAGTTCCACTTGATAGCTTCCGGCGGCACTCGAATAGACAGCGGAACCCTCCTTTTACCCCTAATTCATCCCATCCAAGTATTTCTCCCGAGATCTGGCAGACTCCAAGTCACGCCGGTCCCCCAAACGCACCTCCTGGTCGTGCATCCTGTCTTTCCTACAATATCTCTCGAACCTCGACTGCAGACAGTCGCCAGGCCTCGGAAGCGTACTTCAAATATGCCACTCTCTTCCTTGCGGCATTAATCGTCACATGGGTACGTGCTTGCGTCTCTATCATCTGTACATCTACTGATGTATTTCAGGTCCCTTCGTCTGCCAACCGGGTTTATGCGCTTACCGCTTCCAATCACTATGTCTTCGGCTTGAGCTGCGCCTCGAGCTTTGCTCTTCCTTTGCAGGGATTCTGGAATAGCGTTATCTACATTACCGTATCGTGGCAGGCCATTTTGGCCTGGTTTCAGCATGTTGGTGCGCAGGCGCGGCGCACGTCGAGTACCACGCTTGGACCTTTGAAATCTTCCTTGCGTCGGTTGAGTCGGGGTTAGCTGTGAGTCGCGACGATATTAACAATGAGACTATTGATTTCCAGAGGCGAATTGACTGCACCGGATCATTATTCCACATATAAGACCAGAACTAGTTCGAGGTGCAGGTGGTTATAAATTTATAGTACGTAATGGTAATTGACAAAGATAGTCTCTTATTAGTCTTTAAGAAGATGCTCTGTACTTGACCACAGATTTCACCTGACAGTACTCGATCAGTCCCATCAATCCATACTCTACCCCTATTCCACTCTCCTTATGGCCTGAGAATGGGACGCGAGGATCTGGACGTGAGGGCCCATTCACAAAGACCGTTCCTACGTCCAGGCTGTCCGCGATCCGCTGCGTTGCCTTCGCGTCTTCGCCCCATACGCTTGCACTCAATCCGGTTGAAGTGGAGTTGGCGGCGGAAATCACCGCTTCGATATCAGAAAATGGCATACAGGGGATGATAGGTCCTGGAATGGCATGTCAGTACTCGTCCCTCGTACATTTCAGTAAACAACCCACCAAACTGTTCCTCAATGACCAGCGGAGAATCTGCCGGGGGATTATCTACAATTATCGGCCAGAGGAAGAAGCCAGACTCGAGGGATTGGCGCGCGAGATCCTCCTGTGCTGTAAGAGGTTGATCCAAGGAAAAGTTGCACCCTTCTCGTCGGCAGCTTTCGATCAGATCTCTCAGTTTCTGGTATTGCATCTTGTTCTGAATCGGGCCCAACATGGTGGCACCATTAACCGAGGAGCATCCGACCGTGACGTGGGACCGGGTAAATTCCACCAGAGCTCGCAGGAAGCGCTCATAAATGGACTCATGGATATAGACGCGCTTGATCGCAATACATGACTGGCCGGAATTCCACCACGCACCCATGGCGACCTGCGGAGCCACCTTTTCGATATCCACATCCGGCAAGATGATGGCGGCATCATTCCCGCCCCTGGCTGGGTCAGCCTGGATTGACCGAATGTGCAGAGGCAGTGGGTACAAACAGTTCTAACGTCACCTTCTTGAGCGTCTTTGCTGCAGACTCCATGATCTTCTTCCCGGTAGGCGTGGACCCCGTGAAGGAGATATGGGCAATGCCAGGGTGTTCGACCAAAAGAGGCCCCAGATGGCCATCATCGGCCAGCACTTGCAGAACGCCGGGAGGGAAGATAGACTGCGCCAGTTCTATACACTTAAGACTCGTGTACGGTGTGGAGGGTCTGCAACACTTAGTCGAAGCTCCATCAACACAGCCGATTCCCTTACGCAGGCTTCACAATCACACAATTCCCGACAGCCAGCGCCGGGGCGATCTTGCCAAATGCTGTCTCGGTCAGCTTTTTCACCTCGCTCTCATTATATCACTCGCACCTAGCATAATTGGATCTGCGAACATTTGTTAGCAGGTTATATGGAGATCCATAGGCATGTAACTTACAGTTCCACGGACAGACCGCTGCAACCACCCCTCGAGGCTCATACCGGATGGTCACCTCTTTGTCTTCATCCTGCAATACCTGATGAGGGAGAACCTGCGACGCTGTTGTCTATCAGTCTGTCTTTCTGGTGAGTGAACGGCTTCATTGCCTCACTCACCTGGATGACGGAGCCAAAGAACGGACCAATGGACCTCGATCTGCGCAACATCTTTCTAATATAGACATCAGCGCAATGTGCTCGACAGAAACCCATGGAATTAGCATGTTCAGACACAATGCGCGAACATAAATTGCGACTCACCGTTCGACCAGTTTCGGCCTGCAGCAGCGTCGTAAATTCAGGGGCCAACTTCAGAAAGGCATCGGCGAATTGGTTGAGCAGTTGCACACGGCTGCTATACTCAGTAGCGGACCACTTGGGAAATGCTTTCTGCGCTGCACGAACGGCCTCGTCGACATCCTCCGCTGTGGCGATGGGAGCATCCCATAATGGTTTTCCTGTTGCTGGATTGGTGCCGTGGTGCACGCGGGACGAGCCTCGTCGCTCACCGTCAAGGATGTTCCAGAAAGAGTCGAAAGATATGTCCGTGCTATTGGCCATGGCCGTTGCTAGGGTATTGGATTGAAAACAAAGCTGTCTTCTCCATCATGAGCATGTCGACCGTGCCCAAGCGTGGATATTAAGCTTTGACGGTGGCATAGCATGACTCGGCGTATTTCGGCGGGTTCGGTGGATGCCAATGTGGTTCACAATCGGGCCAAATCTGCTCGTGTGGCTTACAGAAATGCGCCTTAGGAGTATGGTGGACGCCTGATACAATGGCATGGTTCATGCGGGTTCATGACAAAAAAGGCCATGATCCGCGCAAGATCAGCGGAAGAAGAAACCAGCAGTTTCTACTGTGAGAGGATTCTCCATGACTCTTTCCAAGCTTGGGCTCGCTATCGCTGCCATCCCTGTGACGATCACCATGGCCAGTGCCAGTACTGCTGCCCCATCGGCTACAGCGTCCATCGCGCTGCCTATGCAATCATCGGCGCTAGGTCCGCTATTCAACATCACCGTCGGAACACCTCCCCAGCCGTTGACGGTGATGAGCGACTGGACCTGGATGTCCCTGTTCACTCGCTCCGCGCACTGCGAGGGAAGCTACGACGTTACCAATTGCATTCCACCGGGCCAGCAATGGTACAATGAGCGCCAGTCGACGACTTTTCACAATACCAGCTACGAGGCTACGGCCTGGGAGAACACCGCCTTCCTCCCTGGCTACCCTTTTGCGGTGACCTACGGGCAGGACAGTGTTTGCATGGGCGGCATTTGCACCGACGAGACGGTGTTCCAACTATCAAACTTCAACATCACCATTCCCTATGCCGTCCCGTTCGGCGGCATCTTCGGACTCGCGCCCGTTTTGCCCAGTCTGAACGAGACTTTCTTCCCAGCCTCGTACCAGGCCTATCTAGCGGGCCACTTGGGTCCCCAGGTTGGCTTCCATTCTTGTGCGGCCTTGTCGTCCAAGGAAACCTGCGGCGGAGGCGATATGCAACTTGTCCTTGGGGGCACCGCTGGCCCGGATGTGTATGACCCGTCGGAGTCGAATCTAGTTTGGTTCGATGTTGAAGCGGCAGCCTGGCTGTCTAAGAGTGCGCCGTTGAATGTCCGGCCCGCACGAAACAATTTCTGGGCTGTGCAATGGACGGGGATGTGGATGGGTGAGAAGAGCCTACCGCTGACCCAATCTACCACATCGGGCGGTGGTGATACCGTGCCCCTGGCCGTTTTCGACGAAGGGTCTGAAGGATATAGTGCCCCGGTACCCGCAACGGCCTTGGATGCGTTGCTGAGCGCGACAAATGCCACTGTTGTGTCCACCCCTTCAGGCTCGACGTATTCGCTTCCGTGTGATATCGATCAAGACAGCCTTCCGATTCTGAGATATGAATTGCAAGGCAAGCACAACTATACCATCCCCCCTTCGGCGTATGTCACGCGCAGCGACGAGGTATGCCAGTTGAGGATCCGGGTGTGGGATTTCGAGAGCAACGGGCCCATGGCACTATTTGGAGCGGCTTTCCTGGAACGGCTCTACATTATTTTGGACTTTGCGAATTTGCAAGTCGGGTTGGCTCCGTTGAGAACGGAGTTGTTTGTATAATTCCTTCAATTTTTCCTAGGGATTGCTGTCTGTATATAAGGTGTCCTTAGGGGCCAAACCCCCTCTTATAGAAAGCTGCTTAATCTAAATACGAAGGAGTTTGACAAAAATAAACCAACAGCTCACTTTACTATCCCGGTGTTCGTTCAGGAAAATCTCCTTAGTTCGCTTGCTCCATTCCGTCAATAATCCCTTACGGGCGTCGTCGTCCAGCCCAGGTGCCGCCACCTGCAACGCTTTGGCAAAGTATCCCGCGATGACGGCCATCATCCAATCCACCACAGTATCCGCGTACAATTGGCTAGCCATTTCTGTTTCAGTCTCGCCGCCACGGGCTTGGGCTTGCAGCCGCTCGTACGCGGGATGGGTGATTTCCGCCTCGAAGAGCTCCTCTGTCTGCCAAACGTCCTTGACCTGAGCCAAGGACATCCGGACGTCCTCTAACGTCCGATCGTAGGTAGGGACTTGGAACACGCCAGCTACCTCGGGGGATATCCTCCCGCTCATGACCATCTGGATCATGGCTTGTCGACAGGCATCCACCAGGTCCGGGTAATTGGGGACTCCTGTCGACGATTGACTCACAAAGGATAAAATCAAGGAGCCGCCTTGTCGGAACTCCTGAGCGCGCAGAGTCAGGAAGCGAGTTAGGTCCTCGTGTGCCTGTTGGCGGTTCAAGTCCTGGTTTCCGTCTGCATTGTTTGATGCGGGGGTGTGCGAGGGCGATCGTTCCAGGTGATGGAGAGTCGCCAGGGAGAATCCGACATCCACGGTGTTACTCGGGACGACGCAGTCGTAGAAGCTCTTGGCCGCCATGGACGCGAAGATTGAGTGCCCCTTGAGCAGGTTAGGAAGCCACTCTATCTGATTGATGGTTTGCACGAGGGTGTTGAAATCGTTGCCCGGACGATCTGAGAGGATGAGTTGGGCTTCGTGTTTCTCTGCATTGCTGGCGGAGAAGCGAGCCTTGAGAATGCGCTTGAATGGCAGGATTCTACTGTATGCTTCAGTTTCATAGAACAGGTATAGGTGTATATCAGGTATACAGACGAATTTGCTCCCTGGGCACACCCATACTCGACGGCAGTAAACCTCTCAGATACATTGCTGACTGGAATGGTATCAAACAAAGGCAACGCTCGCCGCATGGCAGCCGCCTGGAGGGCCGAGTGTGCATTATAGAAGCCGGCACCCTGCATGGGGACATCGTTTTCTAGGACCCTGGAGTGGTCATGACCTTGGTCAACAGGGTTCAAGTAAGATTGAGCCGTCATTATGGACATAGATAGGCCTCGGATGTCGATTGGTGAACACAATCTACAGTGGCTTACGACCCGCGGACGTCTTCTAATAACCATTGACATTTCGGTGGATTACTAACGTTCATTCTTGCTTCCGCCATCATATAGTGGAACATTCCCTGGCCGCTCTAAATCCCCGGATAGCTTCGCTCACAATTGGAAAGTCGACAGCACAGCCGCAAAGAAACTCAGCCAGCCGGGCAGGTCAGCCACCAGCACGCGAATCCGGTGGATATCGATCCAGCGCTTCAAGTCCTTGGTGCTTTGCCCCTTGGACCGATCCTCCATAATATCCCGGATGGGATACGCGATCAGGGGCACGAACAGAAAATGACACACCGTGAAACCCAGTCCGGCCCAGTACCACCGGCTGGATCGAAGCCGGTCTAGCGCGGGCCGGTCGATGAGCAGGTTGGCGACGGAGGAACTCAGAGTGAGGGTGTTGAGGCTGGCGATGATCCAGATGCCTTGCTCGAAGAATCGGCGGAAATAACGCGGCAGCATTGCCTCACTGTGGTGTTTGTATTCGGGACGCAGGAAGCCGGAGAGGAACCAGTGCTCGTCCCAGGCGTACATGAGCGAGGAGGTGGTGGTGACTAGAGGGGCGATGCGCAGGAGTTTCATTGGGTCAAAAAAAAGCCCCGACGCCATATTGACTGTTTGAGGAGCGTTTGATAGATTGTATGATGTATTGAATGTCTGGTGGGATGCTATCGATGGCGCAGTCAGCGTTGAAAAAATGCTGGTGACGGAAGCTGAAATGGACGACGAGGCGGAAATCCACCGAACGCGCCGAATAGAACCCACCGAATCAACGGATCAATTCCGCATGGGAGTGCTAGAAATACATACAGATTGCTAATTGGATGAATGGATCCAAGAGAATCGGAGATAATAATAGAAACAAGACGGACAGAATCTCGCTACGAACTCATAATATGTATATATATTCGCTCGTTGCCTAAGGCAATGGTTGTGTCACGTGTCAAAACATTACTACAGCGTCCATTGAATCATGATCTTGTATTCCACAGCAGATATGTAGGCAATACCGGCAGGAAGTAGAGCCAGCTTAGGGAGCAGGCATTGGTGCAACTTCCTTTCCTGTCTCCGTTTTGGTCTCAAGACCAAATTCGCTGCTGACCTCCTCACGGAGATGTAGTCCCTTGACCAACAAGGCCAAAGGGACTCCGATCCCGCCAAAAGCAATTGAGACATACCACACCGTCTTCAAGCTGTCCAAATAGACATGTAGAATGGCTGGCCACTGAGAGGAATGCCTATAGGCACTAAGAAATGGTTTCGTGGCATGTTGATAAGCGCCTCCATTGACTAGCCATGAACGCGTGGCAGCGTCGGGAATCGTGTCCAAGAGATCATTTACCCGGGAATTGAACACGGCAGACGGAATCGCCGTGCCCCAGATAGATCCGAAGCTGCGAAGGAACGTCCAGGTCGCCGTCGCCGTGGCCACTTCGCTCTCCGGCAACGCAGCAAGAATGGCAGGGAGGCAGCTGGTGAAGATGAAGCCGGCACCCACACCGAACAGAATCTGAAATCCGACCCAGTCACCAGTCGAGGAGTGGTCGTCTAACAGCGTGAAGAGGCCACAGGCGATTGTCATCGTTGCAAAACCAGCAAAATGGAACACGCGGTAGTGGCCTGTCGCGGTGATGAGAATGCCGGCCAGCACCCCAAAGGGGGCGGTGGTGGTGGCGATGGGAAACAGCATGATGCCGGACCGAGTGGGTGAGGCGTCGAGCACGGCCTGGAAATATACGGGGAGAAAGTAGCACACCCAGTAAAGGAGGATGCCATGCAGGAAGCTCAGCACGAACGTGGTGCTGGACGTTCGGTTGGCGAACAGCCGCATGGGCATCGTAGGCTCTTTGACGGCAGGAGTCGCCTCGTAGACAAGGAAGCCTAGCAACCCAACAAATCCCAAGACCAGCGGGACGATGGTGCGCCAGGAGGACCAGGCATGGACGGTGCCTCCCCAGGTCAGCGCCAGGAGAATGGCCACCACTGCCAGAATCAGGATGGCATTGCCAACGTAGTCTACGCGTTTTAGACGGTCGAGGAGATTGCCCTCCCGTCGGTAGCGCAACCGAAGGAACGGGATCAGCAGAGCCAGAGCGGCACCGGACAGCGGCAGGTTGATGTAGAAGATCCAGCGCCACGAGACGTGCTGGGCAAAAGCGCCTCCCAGGATGGGTCCCACGACAGATCCAATCGCCCACATCGACCCGATCAGACCGACGTATTTGCCCCGTTCGCGGAGAGAAACCAGGTCGCACACCACAATCTCTACCATCGTGTTGATGCCTCCTCCCCCAATGCCCTGCACCGTCCGGCCCCCGATCAACATGGCCGTATTGTTAGCACCACCCGCAATGCCACTACCCAGAGCAAAGAGAGCAACAGATAGTAGGGTGAGGCTGCGCCGGCCGAAGATGTTGGCAGCTTGGCCGAACAGTGGCTGGACGGCTGTCGAGGCGAGCAAATACGAGTTGATCGTCCAGACATACAGCGTTTCCGAGTTGAGCTCAGCCGCAATCGTGGGAAGTGCCGTGGAGATGATGGACGTATCCAGGGCCGAAAGAAAGGCAGTCACGCACAAGGCGCAGAAGATGACGGCGAACCGCCATCCTTTCTTGGGAGGTTGGGGGTCTGAATTTGACGTGGTCATCCCGAACTCATTCGTTGTTGTGGGGAGAGTGTTGTATCATCATTCAATCGAGAAAGCCGAAGCCGTGAAATAGAAGAATGAGGAAGACAAAGAGGAAGGGGAGGAGTTGAGTGAGTGGCGCAATCTCGGAGCGATTCGGTGGGTTTTGGCTGCACGGAATTTGGCCAACAGGACTAGTCAAGACACCACAGTCATATGAAAGGTGACATGGCCCAAGAGCATGGTCAAGTTGATCAGCTTCAGTCTCCTCCAACTTATCCAGCAAAACGTATCACAATGGGCGTTGTTGATCTCCAATCCCTGTCAACAGCAGGCCTGTTTCGCAGTGTGACTGTGGCAGTGATCCTCTGGTTTCTGATTCCCCGACTCTGGCAGGTGAGAGGAAATCCAGATAATTTAATAGACAATGGTTTCTAAACCAATGGCAGGTTCTTCGCGCTGCCATCTCTCCCCTCAATCGCATTCCCGGTCCGCGGCTCCATAAACTGTCGGAATGGCCACTGGTGCTCGCCATCACGAAAGGACGCAGCCACCAGAAAATGCAGGATCTGCACCAGGCACACGGCCCCATCGTGGTGCTAGCCCCTAACATGATTGCCGTATCCGATCGACAGCTCATCCGGCGTATCCTCGTCACAGAAGATTGGCCTAAATCCTCCGCCATCTATGCCAATTTCCGTCAGAACCCCGAGCGTCCCACTCTGTTGGCGTTTACCGACAAGAAGGCGTATGGGGTACGCAAGCGGCTCGTCTCATCCATGTTTGGAATCCGGTATATACGGGGAATGGAGCCCATCATGCGCGATTGCGTCCGGATAGCGCTTGAGCAATTGCACAACGCCTGCCAGCAACACGGCGGCGAGACGACGGTGGATATCCACCGACTCATGCGAGCCCTCGCGGTCGACATCATCGGCGCTACGACGTTCGGGCAGTCATTCAATGTTGTTGAGCAAGGGAGCCATCCCCTGCCGAAGAAGATCGAATACAGCCTGTTGCTGTCCGGAATTTTTCAATTCCTCCCCTGGTTGAAGGGACTGCCTGGGTTCCCAACCCGCGACCCGTACATTGACGAGTTCACCAAGGCGATTGTGGAGCGACGACGAGAGACCATGAAAACAGAGCACCGGCATGATTTGCTGCAGAAGCTCGTGGAAGCAGTCGACGACCGGCCCCATTCGCCCTTTCGGACGTCTGATCTCCAAGATGAGGTGGTTGTGCTGTTGACGGCCGGTAGTGAAACCACCGCCAACGCCGAGATTTTCCTACTGATGCTGCTGGCCAAGCACCCGGACAAATTGGCCTTGCTGCACGAGGAGATCGATAGGTTCTACCCAGACCCGGAGGAGGAGACCACAGCCGAAAAGGCGCCCCAGATGCCGTACCTGCAGGCCTGCATCGACGAGACGATGCGGCTGTACGCCGCCATGGCAAGCGGCAGCCCGCGCGAGGCCCCAGAGGATGTGACGCTGCTGGGATATCACATCCCAAAGGGCACTACAGTCTTCCCCACGACGGCCACTTTGCATCGTGATCCAGATATTTGGCCCCAGCCAGATGACTTTTTGCCGGAGCGCTGGTTGGATCCGGCTGTCGCACTGAAGCGCAATGAGATGCCCTTCTACCCATTCTCTGCAGGCAGTCGGGTGTGTATTGGCAAGTATTTTGCCTTGCAGGAGATCTACCTGAGCGTCGTGTCGCTCTTGAGGAGGTTTTCACTGGAATACGTACCGGGCCAGGACGAATCGACGGTTTTCCGGGTGGCATTGCAGCTGAGTGCAGGGAAGTACATGGTCAAGATTAGTGAGCGTCGAAGGCAATAGATAGATTTGATATACGTCAGCTAAATTACATCAAAATTTTGAGATACTTGCTATGGTGTTGTCTAAGGGTGCTCTTTTCTCTCCTCGATAAAAGTCGCCTCGGCAAAAACACTGCGGATCTCCTCCTGGCCGATGACCTGGTGATACCATCGAGTCACCGCGGGGAATTCCTCGCGCATCTTTGCGTCAATCACCTGCATGAATCCCCAGTATAAAGCACTAGCCAGCGAGAGATCCGCCAGGCTCAGCTTTCCTTCGGTGACCACCCACTGTCGTGCCGCCAGATGTCTGTCGAGACACTGCAGTCCCCGGCGCAGAGTGGCCATGGATCGCTCCTCGACCGTGACATCGAATGCCACCATCCCAACTCGCCACATCACCAGTTGCATGATCGAGTCCATGATCTCATGGTCAGCAAAGCAGATCCATTGACGGATGGAGGCACGTTCGAGAGCATCGCGCCCAAGGAGCTGTTCGCGACGGGGACCACTGTCAGCAACGAATTGAGCAATGGCATCAGATTCGAACAGGAGCGCTCCATGGGGAGTTTCCAGGCAGGGAACCTTGCCCAGGGCGAATTTTGCTAGAAACTCGGGCGACCGGTTGGTGATCCCCATCTGGAAATCGGGAGCTAGGTTGATGTCGAGGCCATTGATCTGGGCTGCAGCCTGAATCTACGCATGGTTCAGCAGTGAATAAGATAGGCAGGATAGAAACCTTCCAGTACCTTCAAGATCCGCGCGTTGGGAGTATACGTATACAGTGTTCCAAAGGCCATCGTGTCTCGCGTCTCATGAGTTGCATTACAAGGATGGAGCTCACTATCTCCCAGCACCAAGTACATAAATAAAATCAAATTCAGCCAATACTCTGCGCCTGAGATCCCTCCCACCGTTCACCAGTCGCTTCGGCGGATTCCCACTCATCGGCGGATTTGCAGCTGCTCGTCCAGCCAAGCAAACATGCGCTGCTGCTTGATGCCAATTGCGCCGATTTTGGCCTGTAACCCTCCCTGGCCAACACCCTCAGCCACCCACAGCTTTTTCTTGCTCTCGGGTAGATGCTGCAGCTTGGCGAAGATCCGGTCCGCGTTCATTTCCGGCGCAAAGTACATGGTGTCCTTGGCTCCCGTCACCAAAACCGCCCCGCCGATTTTTCGGAGGAATTCCTTGCTATCCGGCAGTCGCAGGGTAAAGGTTTGCATTCGGCGCATCACGTCCGCCGGTGTGGCGACACCATACACCCACATGCTGTGCCCAAACTCCCACGCCAGCTGGAAGCTCTGCCGAGACAGGCAACCCACTACCCAATTGAAGACGGCGTCACTGATCCAGCTGCTGATCCAGCCGTTGATGAACCATGAAGGCATGCGCGTGCGGGTGATATCGAACATGTCGTAGAAACCGTCGCAGGAGACACAAGCCCGGATCCGGGAATCGGCGGCTCCTCGAAGTGCCAGATATCCGCCCATGGAGGCGCCGAAGATGGCAATTGCGTTCGGATCGATGTTGTAAGGCGCAGCGGGACCAGGCAGTAGAGTGTCGATCACGTAGTCCAAGACTCTACCGATGACTATCTCCCAGTCCGGCCGGAAAGGCTTGTCGTGATGTCGTAAGACGGCTCCTTGACCGGGTCCATCGAAGATCAGGACGGCGTATCCTCTTTCGGTGGCTCCCGACGCCACGTAGAAGTAGAGCTCCTCCCCAATGGAATCGAATCCCCCCGTGTGAATGATCAACGGGGTTCCCCCAGATAGCCGTTTGTGTGCCGGAGGGAGGAAGAGATATCCGGGCAGATGGATATCTTCGTATGGAATTTCCAAGATCATGGTTGGGCCATCCAGTAGAGTAATCGCTTGTTTGAAACAAGACACACTCTGCTCAAACACGCGGACGAGGCGCGGATCAGACGGGGTGCAATGAAGGAAGAATTCGCTAGCCCGCCAGTAGTTGGACGAACGGAAGAAGGCCCATCTGGCAGCCTCGCGGTCGTTTGCCTGGAGGGCCTCTTCGCCGAGTGTCTTTGCCCGTCCTGCCAGATCGGTCCAGACATTGTACCAGCTGTCGATGTTGCCGTCCTTAATGCGCGACACGGCTTCCAGACACTCGCCAATCTCGGCTCCCTGCACAGGGGCGGTGCCAATGACGCGAAGGAATTCAAAGTCAAAGAATTCGGACTTGAAGAACCAGCCCATAGTGGTGAGGAAGTACAGCCAGCAGTTGATTTCTTGGTGTAGGCCAGAACTGAGGCCTACTTGTGGATATCCACCGTATATAAAAGAGGGCTTCGGTGGATTTCGCCTCCTCGACCATGTGGCCGCCGACGGACCATATGCACACATGGGTAGAGGCAGCTGTGGATCTCTTGATCTTATATATATCATTGCAGCTGCAGCATGCTTGTGCCATCTGCATCCGCTGTCTTCTCCCCATCCTACTATCGATCTAGGCTTCAACATCCTATATCCTAACCATTCGTTTACTCGATCCTTTCTCTTACAATGGCTCCTCAACAACGTTCTGAGCCGATCGCGGTCGTAGGAACTGGCTGTCGCTTCCCCGGTGATATTCACAGCCCGTCCCAGCTCTGGGAAGCAATCTGCTCCCAGAAAGACCTACTCACTCCCATTCCTCCGTCCCGGTTCAACAGCAAGGCCTTCTATCACACGAATGGCGAGCGACACGGAAGCACAAACGCTGACCGAGCCTACATGCTTGGCAATGATATCAAGGCCTTCGATGCCAACTTCTTCGGCATCAATCCCCGAGAAGCCGAAGCTATCGATCCTCAGCAGCGGATGCTCCTCGAAACCGTTTACGAGGCGATGGAGGACGCCGGTCTGACCATCTCCGGAATGAAGGGATCAGACACCGCAGTGTATGTTGGCCTGATGACGGGTGACTATCACGAAATGCAGATCCGCGATCCGGAGAATATGCCCATGTATATGGCCACTGGAACCGCTCGCAGCATCGTTTCCAACCGGGTTTCATACTTCTTCGACTGGAAGGGACCCTCCATGACCATTGACACCGCCTGTTCCTCCAGCCTTGTCGCTCTGCATCATGCCGTCCAATCCCTCCGAGCTGGAGATTGTCGCATTGCCGTGGCAGCTGGGGCCAACCTCATTCTTGGGCCCGAGATGATGATTGCCGAGTCGAATCTGCACATGCTGTCACCCACTGGCCGATCTCGAATGTGGGATACCGCAGCGGATGGATATGCCCGCGGCGAAGGCTTTGCCGCGGTCATGCTCAAGACAGTCTCCCAGGCCCTGGCTGACGGGGATCCCGTGGAATACATTATCCGGGAGACCGGAGTCAACCAGGATGGACGGACACAGGGTATCACCATGCCCAACGCAGAGTCCCAGACAGCTCTGATCCAGCAGGTCTACCACAGGGCCGGCCTTGACTACACGCGCCCTGAAGATCGGTGTCAATTCTTCGAGGCGCATGGAACGGGGACACCCAGAGGCGACCCCATCGAGGCGCGTGCCATCCGAGATGCTTTCTTCGTTGACTCCCCAACGACAGAAGAGCCGATTTATGTTGGGTCAGTTAAGACGGTCATCGGCCACCTGGAGGGCTGTGCGGGCTTAGCCGGTCTACTTAAAGCAGCTGAAGCAGTGCGTCGAGCTGAAATCCCCCCCAACATGCATTATACAGCCATGAATCCCGATATTGTCCCTTTTGCACAGCATCTTCGGGTGCCTACCAAGACCCTTCCTTGGCCGGGCCACAGCTCGGTTCGCCGGGCGAGCGTTAACTCATTTGGTTTTGGAGGAACCAATGCCCATGTCATCATTGAGAGTTATGATCGCCCCGATCCAAGCCACACTCCTTCGTTGCCCACCATCTTACCCATTCCGTTTACCTTCTCGGCCGCCAAAGAGACGTCGTTGGTCCGTCTGATCACTGAGTACATCGATCTGATCAAATCCAACAACGCCCCACCTCTCCATGAGATAGCCGCGACTTTGGCAACCCGACGATCCCAACACTCGATCAGGGCCACCTTCTCTGGCAAAGACAAGGACCAGCTTCTGCACAACTTGGAGACTGCGCTCACCGCACCGTCAGTGGGAGAGCGTAAGCAGACAGCACCCATATCGAACCGGATTCTGGGCGTCTTCACGGGCCAAGGCGCTCAATGGGCATGTATGGGACGGGAAATCCTTCTGGCATCTCCAATGGCAAGGGAGACTTTGAAGAACCTCCAGGCATCTCTGGATGAGCTTCCCGATGGACCAAAATGGACTTTAGAATCGCAGCTGACGCAGACTGAGGACCCATCGCTGATCCAGGAAGCCGCGCTATCGCAGCCCCTGTGCACCGCAGTGCAGGTGATGCTGGTTGATCTGCTGCGGGCCGCGCACGTCTCCTTCCACACGGTCGTAGGCCATTCGTCTGGAGAGATTGCCGCGGCGTATGCGGCCGGAATGATCTCTGCTCGGGATGCCATTCGCATTGCATATTACCGCGGATTGTACGCCAAGTTCGCCCGAGGCAGAGAAGGCGGAAAAGGCGCCATGATGGCGGTAGGCATCAGTTTCGACGAGGCCCAGAAGTTCACCAACGACTCCAGGTTCCAGGGCCGCATCGCTGTCGCTGCCAGCAATGCGCCCCGATCCGTGACCCTCTCTGGGGATGAAGATGCCATCGGCGAGGCCAAAGCTATTTTTGAGCAACAGGAGACCTTTTGCCGCCTCCTCAAGGTCGATACCGCGTATCATTCGCACCACATGCTTCCCTGCCTCGAGCCATATATTGCCTCCCTACAGGCTGCCGCGATCACCCCCTTGAAGCCCAGCGACGAATGTATCTGGGTTTCAAGTGTGCACGGACGAGTAATGACCACTGACGGGGAGAGAGAAACACTCAAGGCAAAGTACTGGGGTGACAACATGGCCAATACAGTGCTTTTCTCTCAGGCGGTTCAGAAAGCGACGCAGCTACATGGCCCCTTTGCTCTCGGACTGGAAGTCGGGCCCCATCCCGCATTGAAGGGACCAGTCACTCAAACGACAAAGGAAGGAACCGGCCAGGTATTGCCGTACAGTGGCACCTTGGCTCGTTTTGGACACGATGTTGAGGCCCTCTCTGACGCACTGGGCTTTTTGTGGAAGGAGATCGGCCCTCATGCCGTTGATCTTCGTGCATACGGCGCCGCAACTTTTGAACTGTCATTCCAGCGCAGTTGCCACCCGCAGCTACCGCGGTACCCGTGGGACCACAGCCAGCGATTCTGGAAAGAGTCCAGGGTGTCGAGAAGATATCGCCAACGCCAAAGCAACAGGCACGATCTTCTGGGCGCTCGCTGTCCTGACGATCATGACCATGAAATGCGATGGAGGAACACCCTGCGCGTCTCTGAAGCCCCGTGGCTATCCGGTCATAAGGTCCAGGGGCAGATTATCTTCCCAGCGGCAGGGTATCTTGTAATGGCCATGCAGGCTGCGCAAGAACTCGCTGCCGACGCTCCGATTTCCATGCTACATCTCCTTGATGTCAATATTGACCGGGCGATTGCGCTCCCAGAGGACAAGGGGGTGGAGGTCATGTTCCATCTTCGGCCAGATACTATTACCTCCTCTATGATCGAGGCTAAATTCTCGTGCTACTCGGCCACTTCGGACGAGGACGGGGCCCGGTGGCAGCGGAACGCCTCTGGAGGGGTGCAGGTCCATCTAGGTCCAGCAGACCACATCCAGCTTCCATCCCCGCAGGAAGAGCCCGTCTCTCTGGTGCCTGTGAAAATGGAGACATTCTACGAGTCTCTAACCAAGATCGGCTTGGAGTATACAGGCCTCTTCCAACGACTGGATCAAGTGAACCGTCGTGCGGGGCGGGCCACTGGTTACGCGCAGGATATCTCTTCCGACAGAGAAATGCCTGTCATGATCCATCCCGCGCTTCTAGATGCCGCGTTTCAGACCATTTTTGCTGCCTTCTGCTGGCCAGAAGACGGCAGCCTGCACGGCCCCTATGTCCCTACCCATCTTCGATCTCTCAGTATCGTACCAATGGCCCCTTGTGACGGTCAGAAGATGACAATCGAATGTACCATCACGGAATCACTCCCACAGACTGTCACAGCGGACGTGGACATCTTCGCACCAAGCCACCCTCGTGTCCAGCTGGAGGGACTGACCTGCACGATGTTGGACCCTCCAACCCCCGAGGACGACTGCGAACTGTTCGCCGAGACGGTCTGGCAGGCGGATGCCGGGGCCGGTCTCAATCCAGCTGACCTGGCTTCAGACCGTACCGATGACCTGGAGCTTGTGGATCTTTGCGAGCGGCTGTCCTACTCTTATCTCCGTCAGCTCAATGCCGCTATTGACCGCAAGGATGTGGATTCCTTTGTCTGGCATCACCAGCGTATCTTCGAGTTCATCGACTACCTCTTTCCCCTGATAGAAAGCGGCCAGCACACCACCATCCGTGCTGAATGGAAAGACGATTCCCACGAGTGGCTGCTTGCCCAGGCCCGACAGCACCCAGGCATGGTGGATCTGCAGCTAATCTCCGCAGTTGGAGAACACCTCGCGGACGTGGTTCGGGGCAAAACCACCATGCTGGAGCACATGATCGCCGATGACACACTGAACCGATTCTACAAGTACGGACTCGGCTTCCAGCGGGCCAATACCGCTCTTAGTCGTGTAGCTGGGCAGATCGCCCATCGATACCCGCGCATGAAGATCTTGGAAATTGGCGCCGGCACAGGGGGCGCAACCAAGGGGATACTGGAGCAGCTGGGCGATGCGTTTGAGCAGTACGTGTTTACCGATATCTCCACGGGCTTCTTCGAGAAAGCACAGGAGCAGTTTGCAGAGTGGGCGTCGCGCATGACGTTTCGGCCTCTTAACATTGAAGAGGAGGTAGCCGCCCAGGGGTTCGAGGACGGTACTTTTGACCTGATCATCGCCTCGAATGTGCTTCATGCGACCAGGACACTGGAGTATACGATGCAGAACGTCCGCAGGCTGCTAAAACCGGGCGGCTACTTGCTTCTCCTGGAGGTAACAAGCGACATTCTGCGGGTCAAGTTGATGATGGCAGGTCTTTCTGGATGGTGGCTGGGCGCTGATGACGGCCGACGATATGCCCCGACCATCAGCGTGCCTCAATGGCACGATCTCTTGATTCGTACCGGATTCTCCGGGGTTGATCAGAGGGTGACTGACTTCCAGGATGTGTCCAAGCATATGACCTCGGTGATGCTCTCTCAAGCAATGGATTCTGACGTTGCCTTGTTAAGAGATCCCCTGGCCGAGTCTCACCCTCCGATCACTGTGGACCGTATCGTGCTTGTCGGAGGTCGTACCGCAACTGTACACACGCTAGCGGAGCAACTCTCGTCTCTGATGCTGAGCTGGAGCTCTGAGTCCCCTGTCATCGTGCCTTGTTTGGAGGACATGGTTAGCTTCGATATAGGCTCTGCCGCTGCAGTTGTGTGTCTGGCTGACCTGGAGGAACCCGTGGTGTGGGGTTTGAACGATGAACGGCTCGCTGGACTGAAGAAGCTTCTCAATGGCTGCCGTCAGCTGCTGTGGATCACGGCTGGAGCTCGCGATAGCAACCCGCACGCCAACATGAGCATCGGGCTCGGACGGTCGTTGGTGTACGAATACCCTCACATCCGGATGCAATTCCTTGATCTGGCCAGCGATTGGGAAGGTCAGGCGGCACACATTTCCACTGCCCTTGCCCGCCTTGTCTTGGCGGACAAGATGGAGCTTCCATCGAAGCGGACGTTGTGGAGTGTCGAGCCTGAAATCGTGTTGCAGGAGGGCCGCTGGATGATCCCTCGCATCCTACCCAACGATCGTATGAACCGTCGGCTCAATGCCAGCAGAAGGAGAATTACAGATACCGTTTCATTGACAAAGAGTCCCGTGGAAGTAGTCGGCGATGGCGCAGATGTGTGGTGTGAGAAGGCAGACCTTGCGATGCAGAATGATACGCTCTTGGTTCGGACCCAGTACGCTCTTCTACACGGTCTTTCACTGACCGAATCTGCCCGTCTATATCTGTCTATTGGTAAGGTGGAGCATTTCAATTCAGGCAGCGATCTTCCCACGGTCTCGACTGTCCTGGCTCTAAATCACCGGAACTTGTCACTCTCATGGGTCCCTCCGACCTATGCTGTCCCCATTGAGAGCTCCAGTGCGACGCCGGACTATCTACTGATTACTGCGCTGGCACTCATGGTCAACACAGTCCTCGATCAGGTTCCCTCGCAAGGACATATCCTTCTGGTGGAACCAAATCCAGTTGTGCGGCGACTCGTTGAGAATCGTGCGCGCAAGCAGAGCTCGTCGCTGACAGTTGTGTATTTCTCCCCTGGACATGAAGACGCCATCTATATCCCTCGCTTGCTCCCTCATCGTCACATCTCCAGGCGTTTGCCCGTCGGAGTAGATTGCGTTCTCGACTGCTGCGTTGAAAAAAGACATCCACTGGAGGAATTGCCGCATCGACAACACACCATTCGTTTGCTCGACATCTTCCAGAACCCCTCTGCGTCCCACAGTTCAGCAGCCTTACCTTCACAAGAAGACCTGAAGAGAGCCATGGAAGCCGCATCAGCATGTCTTGAATTTCACGAAGTTCCCGTTCAGCTCATTCCTCTGCCTGATGTCAGTAATGCGCGGTCGTCCGCGAATTATACCTCCATTATCGACTTCACAACCTCATCGACTGTTCAGACGCTTGTACGGCCTATTGACACCCACACTCTCTTCCGGTCGGACCGATCCTATCTGCTTGTTGGCTGCACCGGTGGACTGGGGCAATCACTCACTCGCTGGATGGTGCAAAATGGCGTTCGCTACCTCATCCTGACCAGCCGAAGCGTGAACAAAGTGAATCGAGTATGGTTGGACGAACTGGAGCGCATGGGGGCGCAAGTTCATCTATTTGAACTGGACATTGCAGACAAATCGGCCCTACTAGCTATGCATGACCATGTCCAGCAGCAACTGCCCCCCATTGCCGGAGTGGCCAACGCAGCGATGGTGCTTTCTGATCGCCTCTTCAACGACATGACGGTGGAGGATCTCCAAAAGGTGCTGAATCCCAAAGTCGCCGGTACTGCCCATCTAGACGAGTTATTCTCGGCTCCTACGCTGGACTTCTTTGTGCTGTTCTCCTCGCTGGCTAGCATCGTGGGAAACCGCGGCCAGTCCAATTACGGTGCAGCGAACTTGTTCATGACGAGCCTGGCCGCTCAACGCAAGCAACGGGGCCTTGCGGGCTCCGTGCTCGACATTGGTATGGTCTTGGGCATAGGTTACGTCTCCCAAAGCGGCATCTACGAGTCCACGCTGCGCCGGTTCAACTACATGCCCATCTCGGAGCCCAAGTTCCACGTCATGTTCACCGAGGCCATCATCGCCGGTCGTCCGGAGCAACAAGACGCCCCTGCCGAGATCATCACCGGTCTGCATCGCATCGCCGAGTCGGACGAGAAGGAAAAACAGGCCTTCTGGTCGGGCAATCCACGCTTCTCCCACTATACTCTCCGCGACAATACAGGTTCTGAGCGGGCAGACACTGCGGTCGTCGCGCTGAGAAAACAGTTGGCTGAGGTTGAGGACATGGCAGAGACCACGCAGGTGGTTTCGGATGGCTTCCTGGCCAAACTCGGAAGGATTCTCCAAGTTCCCTCGGAACAGATCAATCCTGCCCAGCCGCTGATCAATCTGGGCGTTGACTCGCTGATGGCCGTCGAGGTACGATCCTGGTTCCTCAAGGAAATGGACGTGGATGTGCCTGTCTTGCGCATTCTCGGCGGCGCTTCACCTCTCGAGCTCTGCCAGGAGGCCGCTGGTCGCTACATGGCCTCGCGGGCGCCTACACCCCCGCTGATGGACTCGTCCGGGACATCGTCCATGAGTACAAGTCAGATGCTCGGCTCCAGCCAGCCCATAAGCTCAGCGACCTCTCACACGGGTCCGCTTTCGTCTGACGGGATCAAGACCCCTCCGGAGACTGTTGACTCGATGGAGGCTTCGTCTGTCGAGGAGGAGGAGGAGATGGTGGTTGTGGAGAAAGAGGACTGGGAGGTGGCCGAAGTGGACCGCATGTCGTTTTCCCAGGAGCGGCTGTGGTTCCTGAGAGTGTTCCTGAAAGATCGCGCAACGTACAACGTGACTATGGTGTACCGTGTGCGCGGACCTACGGCCAGTGCGTTGAGTGACGCCTTCGATGCTGTAGTTAACCGCCATGACGTTTTGCGGTCCGCGTACCGCGAGAACCCAGAAACTGGCCTCCCGTACCAGGCCATTTTGCGCCAGTCTCCGTTCCGATTGTCTCAAAGGGAAATGGGCACGGGAGATAGAGAGATTGAGCAGGAATTCCAGAGGCTCTGCCACCATGCTTATGATCTTGAACACGGAGATTCCATGGCTGCAGTGTTGTTATCACATGGGCCAGTCGACCATACCCTTCTTTTGGGCTTCCATCACATCGTTTTTGACGGGTTCAGTGGTCAAGTCTTTATCAAGGATCTGGCCGCTGCATTGTCTGGTCACCGTCTCCCTCCTCTGCTTCATCAGTACACTGATTTCGCTCGCCGCCAACGGGCCCGAGTGCAGAACGAGATGGCAGACGATATTGCGTATTGGAAGCAGGCGTTTGCTACGCTGCCAGACCCTGTGCCTCTATTCGATTTCTGTCAGGTCACGACCCGGCAAACATTGACCGATTATACGACGCATGGAGTCCAGCGTTCGATCCCCACGTCGACTGTGAATACCTTCAAAAAGATGGTGCGACAGTTCCACGCGACCCCTTTCCACGGCCACCTGGTCATTCTGCAGCTTCTTCTCGCTCGCCTTTTGGAGCTGACTGAGGTCTGCATCGGAATCACGGACGCCAACCGTACAGACTCTGATTTTCTCGGGACAATCGGGTTTTTTGTGAATCTTCTTCCCCTCCGCTTTGAGATCGGGCAGCACGAGTCCGTAAAAGGGCTGCTGCAGAATGCGCGCGACGTCACCTATCGAGCTTTACAGCACTCCCAGGTCCCGTTTGATGTCATTTTGGATGCGCTGGCGGTTCCCCGGTCCACCACGGAAAGTCCACTCTTCCAGATTCTCATGAACTACAAGATGGGATCTGCTGGCAGGGTGAAAACAGAGGGACTGGAGGCGGAGTTGCTGCAGTTTCAAGACGCCCGCAATCCGTATGATCTGGTTTTCGACATCGAGGAACAAGATGACGGGACTACGCTCGTTGGCCTCCAGTCGCAGTCCTACCTCTACAACCAAGAAGATCTTGGCATGTTGCTGGATGCCTACGTCTGCCTACTGACATCGTGCGCCATCAACCCCAGCTGGCCTCTCGGTAAGCATACTCTCTACCATGAAGAAAGGGTGAGCGCTGCACTGGAGCTGGGAACAGGACCTCGACTGGACTTGAGTGAAGTCGTGACTCTTTGTCGCCGAATCGACGAAACTGTTGCCATTCAGCCGGTCGAAGTGGCCGTCAAGGATTACGAGGGCCATTCCCTCACTTACGAACAGATGCACAGCCAGATTCAATTCATTGCAGCCACGCTGGAGGCCAGCGGAGTGCGTCCAAAAGACTATGTCGCTGTCTTCTGCGAGCCTACCATCCACTCGGTCTGCTATTTGCTCGCCATCTGGCGTCTGAATGCCGTCTACGTTCCATTGGATCCTCAGAACCCGGCGGCCCGATTGCAACTGATTCTAGACGATTGCCAACCGAAGGTCCTTATCTACCACGAAGCAACCGAACAGACCGTCCGCGAGTTCCACCTGTCTGCCACTAAGCCCATCACCTTCTCCAATTTCACTGCTTCGGCAATTCCCCCCGTTCCTGACCGATCCGAGTCCTTCTCCCCCGCCTGCGCCTTGTACACTAGTGGCTCGACAGGGGTGCCCAAGGGAATTGTCCTGACCCATGGCAGCTTTGTCAACCAGATCATGGGCGTTCGGCATCAGTTCTCCGTGGGACGCGAAACGGTCCTACAGCAAAGCTCGCTCGGATTCGATGTCTCCCTGGACCAGATGCTGCAGCCCCTCGTCGGCGGCGGCACCCTGGTGGTGGCTCCTCGCCATCTGCGTGGTGATGCCGTGGAACTGGCCCGGTTGATGGTGCGAGAGCATGTCACCTACACCTACGCCACCCCGTCCGAGTACGTGGCTCTGCTCCGGTACGGCGGGGATGTGTTACGGCAGAGCTCGTCCTGGCGAATTGCCTTCGTTGGGGGCGAAGCGCTCCCTCCGCATCTGATCCGGTCCTTTTATGCTCTTCAGCGTCCGGGCCTCCAGCTTATTAACAGGTATGGCCCCACAGAAATTACGGTGTCTAGTAGCTGTCTATCCATCGATACGTGTGATCCCGCCGTTCTCCAGCTGTCGCGGGTCAGTGTGGGATCGTCGCTGCCAAACTACGCGACCTACATCATGGATGACAAGGGACGTCCTCTGCCTGTCGGATACGTAGGGGAAATTGTCATCGGCGGGCCGGGGGTGGCTCAGGGCTATCTACAGAAGGAAGAGCTCACCCGTGAACGATTCGTGGCGGATCCGTTTACCAAGCCGCAGCAACGCGGCTGCATGTATCGGACAGGAGACAAGGGTCGGTTGCTCCCGACGGGAGAATTGATGTATCTGGGCCGAATGAACGGAGATACTCAGGTAAAACTGCGAGGCTTCCGGGTGGAACTGGAGGATATTGCCCAAACCATCCTTCGCGTGTCCCAGGGGCGTCTGGCTGATGCTGTCGTTTCTGTTCGCGGCATCCACAATGAGGATGGGGATCGACGGTTCCTGGTGGCCTTTGCTGTCCCCGCGCAGCAGAGCAATGGTGCTGGCGAGATTCAGCCATTCCTTGACCAACTTGTCCACTCTCTGCCTCTGCCTCCGTACATGATTCCCCGGCTGATTCTCGCTGTCGACCATCTGCCGCGGAATCCCAATGGCAAGCTGGACAGACGCGCGCTGGACCAACTGCCGCTGCCTTCGCTGTCCATCGACGCTCATCCGCAGAAGCTCACTGCTGCACAGGAAGCGGTAATTTGCGTGTGGAAGCGATGTCTCGACCCCTCCAGTCTGCCTAGTTCATGGAGCCCCGCCGCGGATTTCTTCCAGCTGGGTGGCAACTCGCTGTTGATGGTCCGTGTGCAAGCTCTACTGTCTGAGGCCTTTGGTCGTCAGGTTGCACTGCATGAGCTGTTCCAGTCGAGCACCGTGCAAGGAATGGCCGCTCCCTTCGCCCCGGAGGAGCTCGCCCACCCCACCGCTCTGATCGACTGGGAGTCGGAGACAACACCAGGCGAACCAGAGCGACATGCAGCCGGGTCCGTCTCACCGGCTCGGCTCCGTCCCAGCGACGGGAAGATGGAAGTATGTCTGACAGGATCCACCGGGTTCTTGGGCTCCGCGCTTCTTCGCCACTTGGTCGCCGATCCTCGCGTGTCCCGCATCCACTGTGTGGCCGTTCGCTCCTCGGATCCAGCTCGCCCGCGGTCTTTGGCCGTCGCCTCTGACAAGATCGTGGTCTATGCGGGCGATCTGACGGCGCCTCGTCTGGGTCTCGACCCGGATACGTGGGACGTTCTGGCGGAGCAGGTGGACGCTATCATCCACAACGGGGCGGATGTGTCGTTCCTAAAGACCTATCATTCACTGCGCAAGGCCAATGTCCAGTCGACGCGCGAGTTGGCTTGCCTGGCCATGCGCCGCCGCATCCCGCTGCATTTCGTCTCCACGGGAGGAGTGGCCCAGCTGGCTGAAGTCGAAACCCTTGCACCGCAATCAGTCACGCGTTTCGTACCCCCAGCCGACGGCTCCATGGGCTACATTGCCTCGAAATGGGCCAGCGAGGCCTATCTGGAGTCGTGCGCGGCACAGTTCCAGCTGCCATGTATCATCCACCGACCGTCCAACATCGTAGGCGAGGGCATTCCCTCGACCGATCTGATCCACGCTATCCTTGACTTCTCGGTTCGAGTTCAGGGCGTTCCGGCTTTGGATAACTGGTCCGGAGCATTTGACTTTGTGCCTGTGGAGGATGTCGCGCTCGGGGTGTGTGGGGAGATGGTCCGCAGTGTCGATGCCCTAGAGCAGGGACTGGCTCCGCCGCGATATGTGCACCACTGCGGTGCGGAAAAGATCCCGGTGGGTGATATTGGCAGCTATCTGGAGAGAAAGCACGGCGTTACGCTTCGTGAAATGGACGTGGACTCGTGGCTCGATGCGGCCCGTGCGGCTGGGCTTTCGGCGGCCATGGAGAGTCTGGTGACGGCAACATTGACAGAGAAGGATCATCATTTGCTGCCGTCGTTGTCTCGGTAGCACTGTGTGAGTGAATTAATTGGTTTGTGATGTGTTGTCATGTTGTGGATTAGCATGTGGATCCTGCTGTCTAGGGTTGGTGGATACTATGCAGTCTCTAGAAATACTAGTATAATAATTAGATCGAGCTATTCAAGTCTTTTACCCTCTTGAGGAAACTGGTCTGCGCCTAAGCTCGCGGCTGTCAGGTTCTCTGGATATGGTCAATTCAGATCTCGACTCTAGGCCTGATTCTGTCAAATTCTCTTCCCAATTCTGACTTTACGGCTTACTTCCGCTTCACCCTCAGCAATAATTGGCTTAAATGATCTACCAATCTAGATTCAGGGCATCTTAGTTGTATCTCATTCCCAGGTGCCCTGTTTCACCCCCGTCAGCACTAAACAAAGTCCAGCCTTGGTACATGGGCTGATCCGGATATCAGAACCCACAGCACCAATCAAAGGGAATGTGGAAAAACACATCGCTAAGCGATGCCCCGTTGCCTAAACTTTGTAAACCGTTGGTGCAGTCTAGGCTTTCCGTTAGAAACCATGGAATTGCATGGAAAATCCAGATCTCCCCTGAGGCCCTCACGCCGGCCAATTAGACAAGTCTTTACGTGTTGGTTTATAAGAGTTACATTGTCGACCTCGAAGGATCACCGATCAGCAGTTGTTGGCTGATGGGAAAAGAAACAGCGGTCTTCAGAAGGATTGCAGACCACAGACTGCCGAGCATGTAAGCTGCAGAATGAGGCCACATAGCGACCATGTATTTGATATCTAGAATGACGTAGATCCATCGTGGGTCAGTGTATATAACTACCACAAGGACATAGAGCAGAAGGAGAAAGACATTGCCTGTCCACCCAGCCAGTTCAGGATACCCTCGAGGCACAGGCACCATGAACGCTTCCTCCGCCCGATCTGCTCAACCTGTCACCCGCTTGGCCTGCAATCGATGCCACCAGCAGAAGCTGCGCTGCCACCGCAGTCTCGTCCCCGGCCAGCCCTGCGCACGCTGCGAGAACGCCCAAGTCGAATGTGTTTTCGAGCCTCCTCTACGGCCGGGGAGGCCCAGCACTCGTCGCAAGTCTCGCAGCAAGCCACCGTCTCCCTCCAAGGGCAGTACAGTCTCTTCCTCAGTGAAGTCTCCTCGACAGCAAGATGACCAATCAGCGAACGATCCGCCGAGAGGATATCTGTCGGAGCTAGATGGACTGTTCGATGGGGTTGCATCCGAGTGTCCAATGGCCAGCAGTAACGATGACCAGGGTATGTATCCCACGAGGTTAAATGCAGAACGGATAGTCGGCTAGGTACTCACTGCAGCTGGGGCCACAGTCTCCCTCTCTCCGTTTCCTGAGCCTAATCCGGATGAGCCTCTCCTCTCGTTCGGCTGCAGATCTCCGTTGAACAGTGGCTACCTGTATATGGCGCCTGACTGGCTCCATCTGCCCATGCAGCCCCATTCCTCCGCCCCCAAACCCCACTCTTCCTCCTTGCCGCTTGGAGAAACCTTCCAGCCAACCGCCGCCATAACGACATTCTCTTTATCTTCATCTTCATCTTTGTCGTCGTCGTCGTCGTCGTCGTCGTCGTCGTCATCATCCGTCTCGACGTCGACATCGCCCCTGCTGGTAGCATCCGACGTCAACTTCTACCGGCTGTCCGAGCTGAGCATGACGCTGAACGAGTATTTCTGTCAACTGGCAGCAGCAACGGCAACAGCCGCTGCCGGAGCGCAATCGGACTCCGTGGTGGATCCGCCCCCAACCATCACCATCGACCAGATCCTTGCCGTCACCCAATCCCTGGCCGACATTCTCTCCCCTGTTCCTACCCATAATGATATTGATAATAATAATAAATCGCTTCAGCATCCCAAACCCCCCTGCCCACGCGCAGACTTCGACTACCCCTTCCCTGTGGCCTCTCGATCCTCACCAGACGGTGCTACCTCCCTGCTGATCCTCTCCTGCTACCTTCGCCTCCTCCACCTCTACAACATAGCCCTATCCAGCCCGTCCGCAGTCGCAGTCGCCCCTGTGTCTCCAGCAGGAAATGGGAATGGGAATGTGATGCAACCGCTGCGCTTCCAGATCGGTTGTTTCTCCACCCCCATGACATCCTCCATGGCGCTACTCGCTTGCGTGAGTTCGCAGCTGCTGGGCAATCTCGAGGCCGCGCTCCGACGTCTCGCGTTGAGTATGCCGGCTGTGGGCCGGGGAGAGCAATCCTGGCCTTGGGAGCCGGATGCTGGCCCGGGATCCTGTGTGATGATGGTCGCGCGGGCGGCAATGCTGGAGGCGAGGACGCTGCAATCTAATCTCCGGCAGCGGCTGCATGTCCTCAATTCTGTTTCTTCTCCTGAATGAGTAGATGGGGGCTGCCGGGTAGTCCGTCCTATGTTATTAATATTACAGTTGGTTTTCTGGCGTGTTTGTCTAATAGATAGGTTCATTAAAGGGTTCGCAGAAAGTTTCAGTGCTAGGTTTATTGGAGATGTCGGCTATTACGGGTTATGCAGTGACTAGTAAATGGGAAGTATCCTTTAACTTGCTATAGGTAATATGAAGAATCAAGAGTTAATCGTCTGCCTCTTCCCTCTCTACGAAGTGGTACATTTCTTTATAAAATCAATCATGGCCTGCCTCCCGGCCGCTTTGACGGGTATCTCCGTGTGCATGGCCCCAGAGACATCCAATCTGTCCACCTTCAGTCCAAGTCTCCTGCCCTCTTGCTCCAGCTCCGCAGCCGCATATGCCGGGATGACTTCGTCATTCTCAGCCGAGAGCAGCAGAATCGGCGGGATCTCATGCTCGTACTCGTGCCCCCGCGGATCACGATCTTGATCCCGCCACCGCGCCATCCGCTCCAGCGCTACTGCACTGCTCCAATTATTCCACAGAAACGGCCACAAGTACCGATACGGCAGCCACTTTTGCGGATACAGACTGATCAGCATATCCTTCGTGCTCGACATCGGTGCTTCCAGTATCATCCCGGAGACGGGAACGCGCGGAGAACTTAACTGCCGAGCCAGGTACGTCGCAGCCGCAGAGCTAGCAATCGCCGTACCCAAACTATGGCCCCAGAGCACCATCCGCACATCCCTATCAGGGGCACCGTAAGTCTCCGCTACCCACTGCAGAAAGGCGACCGCGTCGAGCTCGATCCCGATCTGGCTCGCGCGACCAGAGGACTTCCAGTACCCGCGATACGACAACGCGACGACGAGGTAGTCCACCTCAGACGACGGTGTTGGCGGGTTGATAGTCCGCAGGAACTGCGACAAGAGCGGCAGACGCATGGGAGTCGAGCCGCCGTTCCCTTGGAAGTAGCAGATCACCACTAGCTTTTTCCGTGCCTGCGCATGTGGCTTCTGGGTCACGCTCCGAGGGGTAGCTGGCATCCACCCCTCACAAACGGCCAACTTGGTCCCGTCCGAACTTCGAATGCGCTTTTCTTCCCACCGGACGGGCTTGCATTCGCCTGCGTAGTCGGATATCTGCTCCGAACGGGCGAACGGCGGCAGCCATGAGATATACAAGAGCTTGTCCTGCATGACGACGATCCAGAAACATTTCCATGTCCATAAACCTAGTAGCAGGGTAATAAAGATTACAGGCGGTATCAGGACAGGTGGAATGGCAGATGTAAACACGCCACGCCTCTGAAATGGGGCTACATGATGTGATCTTTTTCCTGATGTGGAGCGGATGGAGTGAAAGGATCGAGGGCCCAGAGAATAGTACGAGGGTCTGACTGCCCTGGCAGCGCTAATCCCAGGCAGACTGCGCTGGACGCGCCTAAGAGTCCATTTTGCCCGCATCAATTAGCATCAATTGTGGATTGAAGCGATGAGGCCATACGGACGCGTCGGTGATGACGATGGAGGAGTCATGTGATTGATTGGTCATTGCTTACTCATCCGCTTTGGATTCCGGATATTAAAGCCTTTAAGGCAAGGCATGAAGAGTCAGAGTGCGTCCTGAGTCCTGAGACCATACTGAAGATGCTTTGATGCGTAGAATTCGATCCTCAATTGGGAGTTAACTTTACCGGTCTTTCTATTCTACAAGTTAAACCAGTCTGTGGGCCAAGCTATACTTTGCCAGCCTCCACGGACATATTATATATATTTGACCTTCACTATGTCATCGAACAGGTTTGGCATTCCTCATTCTTAGACAAAGCCGTCATGACCCTGGGCTTCATGGGGACCTCATGTACCCGTTACTCGTACAATAATCGTCGTATATCCTGATGGCGCTGGAAACATCGATGGCATTCACGCCGCATTTGTGAAGGAACGAGTCGGCGGTTTGCTGGAGATCCGAGCGACAGATACATTCGTTCTCGAAGGGATCGACTGCGCAGCCGATCCCCTCTGCAAGGAAATCGGCGCCGCCTTGCGTGGAGGAGCCCCAGTAGAAGCAGCTCTTTGCGCAGGGTCGTTTCGACGCATAGGCCGGGGACTCGGTGAGCGTAGCTGTTGTTGCCTGTGCTGCGTTGATGAAAAGGGAGCAGCAGGGGAGAATGAGGATGCTTGTATTGCGAGGATTGTAGAGGCCTTTTGCAGTCATTATCCCGAATTGACTGGCGCTGCTGGCCGTTCGGAAGAAGGCCTGCCATTGAGCCCCCGCTCCTAATAAATACTGAGCGGCTGATCGCGTGGCCCCGTGTGGTCAACTCCTGCATAATTTAGGATACTCCTGCTAAGCAAATGGCATCCGTAATGGTTGGCCAGCCTTGTCCACGAAGGTGCTGATCAGGAGGGCTGAGTAGACCAAGACTATCTCTAATATGTTGGAACACCTCCAGTCATTTCCTGCTTGCCAGCATCAAGCCTAGGCAGCTTGTATCGTCCCTTGGCCAACAACCATGATGATACTAGCCTGCTTGGTGTGCTCTTGCTTTTCGCCAGTTAGTGACAGCCTTGTTGGAGTTGATGTTAAAGTTAGCTGGGGCTTGACCCAAATCCACGGATGAAGGCCAAGCATTCACCCGATAGGCTTCAATATCATGGCAAGCTGTATTAATATGGAACATGAGATTAATCATCGACTTGTCTTCGACCGTACATGTGATAACTCATACCCCGCGATAGATCGTGTGTGGATCCCCTCGATCAGGGTCGGCAGTCGGAGTCGGGATGGGGGTGGGGAACCTCCACCATCCCCATCAATATCCGGGGTTTAAGTACTCCTATTGCGAACCTCAGGAAGGCACAGAAGTATTTCTATCCGGTTCTACTGCCAGGGCAAAATGACAAGCAATCAACCCACGCCGCGCAAACGAGGTATCGTCTCCTACGGCTCCTACAAGACAGGAGGATGGAAGCTCAAGGACATCACTCTCCGTCCTTTGAAAGAAAAAGAACTCCTAGTTGAGATCGTCGCATCCGGAATATGCCAGACCGACCTGCATTTTGCAGGCGCTGAGAGTGGATTCGGCGTACACTATCCCCGGATCATGGGTCATGAAGGTATACTATCCCCTCTAGGACCAGCGCACCAGCTAAGTGAACAACAGGTGCCGGATACGTCCGAGAAGTAGGCGCAGGGACACACGTCGCCCAAGTCGGCGACCCGGTCATCCTGTCTTTCTCCTCGTGCAAGACCTGTGAGCCATGCGAGCGAGGGCACCCCGCGCACTGTGCCAACTTCAACGCGATAAACTTCGAGGTGGAACTGGATAACCTTGTCTTCAGCGAGGAGGCGTCGGCATCGGCATCGGCATCCACCGCGACGGAACCGGGCATCTACGGACGATTCTTCGGCCAGTCAAGTTTTGCGAGCTACTCGATCGTCCGCGAAGATTCAGTGGTTAATGTCCGTGGGGTGGTCGAGACCAAGTCGGAGCTACAGTTGCTGTCGCCTCTGGGCTGTGGGATTCAGACCGGGAGTGGGGCGATAATCAATGCCGCAAGAGCTACGCCGAAAGACCGGGTGGCCGTCTTGGGTCTGGGAGGTGTCGGGTTGAGTGCCGTTATGGGCGCGAAGATTGCAGGTTGTGCACAGATCATCGGTATTGAGCGACATGCTTCCCGGCTGGAGCTGGCGAAGGAGCTAGGTGCTACGCATGTCGTACAGGTTGATACGACGGGGGACCCGCAGAGTGTATCAGATGCTGTTCTGGCCGCGACGAACAACCTCGGTGTGAACATCGTGCTGGACACGACTGGTGTGCCGGCGCTGATTGCCCAAGGTGTCAGGATGGCTTCATTCAAGGGGAAGATTTTGCAAGTTGGAACGGCGCCGGAGACAGGAACGCTGACACTCCCGATTCACGAGTTCATGGCAGCAGGGAAGCAGTATATGGGTGTGGTGGAGGGAGACGTGAATCCAAAGGAGTATGTGCCTAAGATGGTTAAATGGGTGCGAGACGGAAGTCTGCCTCTGCACAAGATTGTCAAATACTACAAAGCAGAGAACTTTGAGCTGGCGATCCGTGATATGCAGTCCGGGGAGACGATCAAGCCAGTCATTTTGTGGTAGTCAATAGTACATAGGCTGTTCAGCTCTCTAGTAGACAATCAATAGCTTACAATCTACACGAGGACATTCGAAAGCTCCTCGAGGAAGCTTTTGTCAACATACTAATATCGCTAGGCTGAAAAGGGTGCATTTTCGTACTCATCAGCCTACTGGTGTAGCATCTCCAGTTCTGAACAGGTTGGGCCAACGCAAGTCTTCGGCACTTGAACTCGGCATGTACAGGTACTGGAAAACTTTGGGCCTCTAACAGAATAACGAATCAGATTGAAAGCGTCTATCAGGACTCAGAAAGCCGTACAAGGGCCCACTAATGACCCGGCTCGATCACCCAATCCCTGCAGACGGAAGCATTCCGTCGAGTCCAAACATGCTCCAATCTAACCATATCAGCAGTTTGATCTGTTTGTGCCTCTAGCAAACAACAACAATTGAGGGCTCTCATTGGATCAGGTCTATTTGTGCCGTTTGTTGTGTTTGGAAATGTGCGGGTAATGCTATGTACTGACGTCAGCCCAGCAAATCATGACCTTCCGGCAAAGTATAAGACGAGAGGACTGAACAACAAAGATATCGATACCAAAGCTTTCATTCAAGTAGACCAAGCAGCTTGGAAAGCAGATCAACTCATGCCATCGACACCGCCCATCACCAACCGCCCCGTGGTAGCCATTGCAGGCGCCACAGGGCACCTAGGCAGTCACGTCATTTCAGCCTTCCTGTCTCCCCCCTTTCATGCCTACTTCTCGGAGATAATCCTCTTATCCAGACATGACAACCCACCCGTCCCTCCAGCTCCAGAAGATCTCGGCGCAACGATGACAGTCCGCAAATACGACGAGGACAATCTTCCCGCGGCGCTGGAAGGCGTCGACGTGCTTGTCAACACAGTCGGCGCATCCGGCCACGCTTTCAAAGAGAAGCTGCTCCGCGCGTTACCCTCAACCGGGGTCCAGGTCTACTTTCCCTCCGAGTTCGGGGTGGACCATTACGTTCATGATTTTCCGCATGGAGAATGGGACCAGAAGAAAAGGCATTTCGAACTTGCGGGACGGCTCATCCCGCAGGTGAAGGTTTGCCGGGTGTTCTGCGGCTTGTTTCTGGAGGATAGTATCGGGCCGTGGTTTGGGCTTGACACCGTACGGGGCAAGTATGAGAGCGTGGGGAGTGCAAAGTCGTTGGTGTCGTTTACTGCATTGGAGGATGTAGGGAGGACGGTGGCGTCTTTGGCGGCGATGCCGTTGATGAGTATTCCGGATGTGGTGCACATTGGCGGTGATACGCGATCGATTGAGGAGATTGCGAAGGTTATGGAGGCTGCCGGGGCGGGACCGATTGAGATCACCGAGGTTGATCTGATGAAGTACAAGGAGGAAACGACGGGGAAGATATCGAATGACCCTGCGGGGTATCTGCGTTTCTTGATGGGGGAGAATAAAATCAATCATACTTCGTCGGGGCTGGGATGTGATAATGAGTTGGTCAACATGCACGAGAAGACCTGGAAGTGGAAGACTATGGAGGATCTGGCCAAGTCCACCAACGGAAGGCCATGGAAGGACATTCGGTGGCCTCCTGAATAAACATATTCGATGATTTGGTTTTGCAGGTACAAGCAGGCAGAGCACCACGTTGAAATTCCTTATCACTAGCGTACAAGGAGATACACACATGCCAGTCTGTTTCATCCGGTCTACCTCAGCAACTTGTCCCCAGACCAATCTAAAGTGATTTATGCACTGGAAGACGGAGTAGCGCCAGAAGGCATCGCACCAGAAGGAGCAGCCCCCGAAGGCATCGTACCGTTCATATTGCCGCCACCAGAGCCGCCAAAGGCCGAGCTGGCGGTGTTCTGGTGTCCGCCGTCCTCCTCATAGTACGCGGCAATGCTGTAGTACGAGTTGTCAGTGTAGTCGGCCGATGCATTGATACCGATCTGGATCCACGCGAAGAGACCATCCTCCAATCCGTCACCCAGGTACAGGTACTCGGGGAAGGGATCGTACTCATCCGACGCCTGCAGAACACTCCACATGTCGTCCGCGTTGGTGGTGATGGCCTGGGTGTTGGTGTTGTACGGTGAGGTATCCTCGACGGCGGAGCGAAGGACCTCGTTCCAGAAGAGCTGGCCGATATGGGCGATGCTGCTGGTGCCGACTTCCAGGGTGCCATTGGCGTTCATGGTGGCGTTGAGATGCGTCAGGAGATGAGTGTGGGTGGCGCGTCCGTCGTAGTGGCCGGGGAAGATGGTGTCAAACGTAACGACGCCGTCGTCGTCGGTCTGCTGGATACCGCGGAGGTAGGTTGAGTCCCAGCCGTCAGCAGCGTAGTTGCCAGAGGTAGAGATGCCACTGTCAGGTCAGCAGAGCCCATCTTCTGGTCGGTGGAGTCATACCTGTAGACACCGGTGGCATTGGCGTTCCAGATATCGACCACAGCGCCCTTCACAGGCCGGCAGGTGTTGACGTCAATGTACTGCACCTCAAGGGTGATGTCGACACCGTCGCAGTACTTCTCCTCCTTGACATTCTGGCGCAGGATCTCTCCCCAGACGTAGTATGGCCCGTCGGTAATGGTAGGGGTCAGGATGGCGCTGGTGTTACCGCCAAAAATAACTGATTCGGGCGTGTTGGATGAGTAGTCGAGGACATTGGTCTTGTTATGGTTGATGGCTTCCCACTTCTCGAGAGCAGCCAGATCACGACGCCACTTGTGAGCATCTTAATTGTCAGCGGGAACATTATGAAGTGTCGAGGTCACTTACTAGTCGTGATTCCCTTGCTCTGGCGCAGCTGGCGGGCAGTGCGAGCACGACGAGCGACATTGCGCTGGTTCAGCTGTTGTGCCTCCGTGGTGCTAGCACAAGCATCTAGTGCACGCTTGGCTGCAACGGCGTACGCATCGCGAGCACGAATCTCCCGCTTGACGGCGTGGGCATCGTGGACTTCGCCGGGGTGGGCGGCAGCAAGCGTGGCAGCCGCAACGAGGAAAATCTTGGAAAAGTGCATCTTTCTTGATATCTGACAGTGAGACTCTGGAGGGAAGCTTGTGTTCTCTTCATAGTCATAGCTCCAGCTTTTATACTGTTTTGGTTGTTGTCATCCTGAGATAGGACAGCCCCAGCCGCGTCATCCTCTCCAGACTTAATGAGTGCAGGGCCTCGCAACAGAAGCACATACCACCGACAACTCCTGGCATAGACCAGAAGATGCGTAATCCCCGATCAGCGATTGATTCACGATGCTTGGCGATAGCTTGACTTGGTCAAGCTGCACCGAAGAGACGTAATGGAAGGTCTTGGCGCCGCGTATATGGGCTCCGCTATCCTGAGCCATCCGCAAAAATAGGGAACAGAAGCAGAGAAATGATCGACAAGGACGACGAATCATGAAACGGGTATTATTCCATGTCGCGCGTCTGGCTTGTGGAACGACGTCTCTCTCCTGCCGGTTCGGTGCTGTCGTGAAGTACGGTGTCAGCTCATGTTTCAGCAGCCAGTTGGCAACTAGGCAGAATAGGGGTGCCGAAACTCAAGAGCTGTCACTGTAATGACCTGCACACGGAATTCATACACCCCTTACACAATTGATCCTTGGGTGTAACAAGTGATGCTTCAATGGTCGTCAACTATTTGCGGCTTAAGAAGCAGGTGGGGCCAGTTGTCATTTACTGAAAAGAGTGGATTGAACTCTGCGATCTCAGAAAATGGAACTCCTAGCTAATTCATGGAATCCGCCACCAGGTTCATTGATCACAGTGCTGTACTATAGCAATTCAAACTCACGTGGTTAAAATTTGAAATATGAGGCGCCTCTGAGTGCCGTTTAGGATGTCGCTAGTCCGAATTTGGAACAAACAAGCTTGGACAATATTTTCTCCACGGCTGACTTATCAAAGACATATATCTAGAAGTGCTTGTGATACTGTCTGATTCTTGACCTTGCATCCACCACTCGAATTAGGAACGCAACCCTCTTCGAGAGACCGAGCGAGAGCCTCTATCTTCTCTTCACTGGTGGCATACCGCATCAACAGCTTGTATGCACTCTCGCAGGGCAGGCCGCCTTCTACGCGGTCGGCTTTTTGCTCGGTCTCTAGCCCAGCTAAGATCGTCGAGACGTCGGAACCGGGATTCGCAGCGAGACGCGTGAGGAGCTTGCAAGGAGCAGGTGGCGGCCGGGATGATCCCTCCCCCGGGGTTCTTGGTTCATCCGGTGCCAGTCCCGCGTCGTGACAGCTAGTCTCTTGTCTGCTGTCCGATGTTGATTTACTCCGTCCAGGCGAAGAGAACATATCAGGGACTTGACTGTCCTCAGCAGTGGATGATGAATGGTCGGCTGGTTTGGGGATAGAATCGCTCAGTGGACAACTGCTGGATTGGCAAACCGTGTTGCAGGGCAGTGAGCATTGCAGCTGTGATGACGGAGCGCAAGACGGGCCTTCTTTGCCTTTGTTGCAAATTCTGTCACCTGCAACTTCATGACATTGATGGCTATCCTTTGCACCATCGGGGGATCTCCGCCGAGTTATCCAATCATTGACAGATAAGCGATCAATGCCGAGCACCAGCAACAGCTCTCGTAGGTAAATATTCTCTTCTGCGACCTTCTTAGCTGCGGTTTGTATCTCGACGGTTGCCCGGACACCTTCTTGTTCAAATTTTCTCAGTCTGCGTTCCAGATCGGCCGTGTATTCCTTCTGGCGTGCTCTGTTGCGACGTTTATTCTCTCGCAAGCGCAGGGTGCGCTCCGTATTCTAGGCTCTGATTTAGTGCGGCCATGCAATGACTCGGGAACACCTACTTTATCGCACGACATCGTTCCCGTCGGTCTGGGGGTATTAATGAGATGGGGGCCTTTGGCAGAGACTTGAGGTGAGCAGGAGTGGTTTGAGCAGAGAAACGTGGCTGTTATCTGAGGGTTGGACAAGCCAGCGTTGATTGGGCCACGCTAAAAGTGGGGTTATAATCAACAAAGCCAATAAAGTCCGAAGCTCCAGACCCACTGTAAACTTTAATGCCCTCAGGCCAATGCGAACCAGCAGAGGAGTGACCAATCATTGTCCAGCTGTCCGTCTCCTTCCTCTCCGCCAATCATGTTCGATGTGTCCGTCCCCCGAAGTATACAGCATAAAAGGCTGATGCTCTCCAGGTAAAAGAGACAGTGGTAGCGTTCTGGTTCTTCTCCTTCACACCTTCTAGTCACTATGGCTACCGTCGTCGAGTCGTCACGCAGCTCGACATCCGTTCCAAGGAACAATACCAACAGCGGGAGTTTCAGCGGCCCTAAAAACGATCTCGAAGCACAACAGACTACAGCTTGCTCGGAAGAAACAAGTCAATCTTCGAGTTTGCGAGATATTAGCGGAGATAGTGGTCTACAGGACAACTCCAATGTGCCCCATCTCTCTCTACTGCGGCTATTCTGGTTCTTCTTCTACAACTTTGGACTATTTGCCTGGGGGGGCCCTGTAGCACAGATCTCCCTCATCAAGGAACACTTGGTGCTTAAAGAAAAATGGATCACACTCCCGCGCTTCCAACGCGTCTTTGCTGTCTACCAGATCCTGCCAGGCCCGGAGGCAGCAGAGCTATGCATGTTCTTCGGGTGTCTCTCCGCTGGTCGCTTGGGTGGGATTGTCGCCGGACTCGGTTTTATTTTGCCCGGATTTCTTCTTATGCTTCTTGCGTCTTATCTTTATTCTCTGGCAGGGCTAGAGAATATTTACTTTAATGCTTCCTTCCGGGCTATCCAACCGATAGTCTCTGCGATGGTGAGCACTTTCTAGATCCAAAAATATCACTTGCTGACGACGAGTAGATCCTTCGAGCCACACACAAGATCGCAGACCACTCCGTGGTCGACCACAGTACTCATAAAATAAATCCATATCTCGTCATTGCTGGCCTCTGTACGGCGCTAAACACTGCTCTTCGTATCAATATGTGAGCCTTGCCTCTTGTCCACCGCTCACAGTTCTGGATGTTACAGCAACATTAAACGAGCATAGCTTCATTTCCCTCGGTCTCTACGGTGTGATATATAGCTTTATATCCCGCGGCAAACGAATCATCGCCATATGCCTCTTCATCCTCCAGTACGTCGTATACACGATCTACGTGGTTTTCCGAGGTGTCCCATCACCTGTTTCCCTCGCGCTCGGAATAGCCAAGACCCCGTTCCTTCCCAATTTATTCGCACTTGGACTGGTAGCCGGAAGCCTCTCTTTTGGTGGTGCATACACCGCCATACCTTTCATGCAGGTCGAAGCCGTTCTGAAGGGTGGGTGGCTTCCCGCGCGCATTTTCCTGGATGGCATCGCCATTGGGAATATTCTCCCCGCCCCGCTCGTGATCTTTGCAACTTTTGTCGGTTTTCAGGGCGGTTTGGCAGATGGCAACCTTGGGACAGCTCTTGCCGGCGCAGTGGTTATTACTATAGGCATGTTCTTCCCCTGCTTTCTCTTTACGATTGCTGGGCATGATCTGCTGGAGAAACTTGTACGGAATGAGGTAAGTCACTCATCCCTTCTCTGAAGACTCCTCATGACCTTGTTATATATATACTGATCCCCGCAGTTCCTTTCGGCCTTCTTTGACGGACTTTGCGGTGCTGTCATCGGCGTGATCGCTATTATAGCGCTGCAGACGTTACGCTCAAGCCTTGAAGTCTCTGACTCAATGACAACAGCTGCTTTGACGCAAAACGTCATAAACGCTGAGAGTGCCGCCTCCGCTTCTGTACTCTACGTCCTTGCGCTGGCTGTACTCTACAAATTCACCAACAAGTATACACCATTGCTTCTTGTTGCTGTCGGTGCTATTGCAGGACAGTTTCTGTTTGTTTGAAAAGGCAGGTTAGGATGGTGGACAAGGTCAATAATTGAGAAAATTTCCCGTTCACCGGCCCTACCTTAGACGGCCCACAGCTCCAAAGCACCAATGGATATGCGCAGACCCTGTTAGCCAATCTGTAAAATCCAATCAAGATCGCGCTCAGAGGACAAAACACCCCAGAACCAAGTTGCGACCGCAGGCTGGGAATTGTAATTTTCCCCATCGTATATTGCGGATTGGAATACGCGACGCTTAAGAGAGATATTTTGAAGTGACTCTGGAGTTGGGCAGATCGCCTTCGAAGATAGGCCAAAGTTAGTCACTTTGGCCAGCGGAACTGGTGCCTCGCTGTTCGCGAGAGTACTACTACCTCCTCCGTGCTATAAATCTACATAGGGTTCATCGTTTTATGTTATGGGTAGTCAGGACAATATCAATCTTTAATACTCAGACCTGCGTGTCGAAAATGGCCCTTAGCACTTTCTTCTCTTGCCCCAACCTGGTTAATACACCATTCGAGAAAGGAACTGGATCCCCGAGCCGGATCTTCAGCGTAGTAGCTCCAATTACGTCTTATGAATCCTTTTAGCTCAGCAAAGAACTCTTCAATTGGATTCAGGTCCGGCGAGTAAGGTGGCAAGTAGACCAGTTTTACTCCCGCATCGGCACACATCTGTGAAATCCGTTCAGAGTGGTGCAATGATGCATTATCCATGACCAGGACAGACTTCGGCTCCGGCCATCTTGCACAATGGCGAAGTAGCTCGGCGATGACGTCCTCGAACACGGTGGCATCCGTTGAACCACGAAAGACGCGAGAGAGTACAATCCCATCTTGAGCATATGCAGGCAGAATTTGATACCGCTCGCTGCGGTGGAACTGTGCCACTTGTTTTGGTGCTACACCAAGTGGTGACCAGCCTGTCCGTCGGGACCCAATCCGCTTATCACATCCGGATTCATCAACATAAACAAGGTGGGATGAATCAAAGTCGGAAGAGGTTATGAAGATAAATCTCGCGTAATTCGGCGTCCTGTTCTTTAGCCTTCTGCTGGGAAGTTTTTCGGGATCAGCCTTTGGATACGAGGGCTCTCCTAATGCTGGAGGTTGTTGCTAGCATCTGGAATTCGTCCCATAGAAAGATAGCCATCTCGTCGAGGTATAGACTAGGCTTTTCGAGCAGATGATCGCAAAGAGCTTCTAGCATCAGTGGTGTTACGCTTCGTCTTCGACCGATACGATTTGGGGGGGCATGGATGCTTCCGCCATTTGAGACCTGGTTAGTGACTGGGCTTGTATCATATCACGAATAAAGTGTACTCTTGAGGAGGGTAGTCTCGGTGCCATATCGTGCTTATGATTCTAGCAATTCTCGAGATAAAAGGTCTTCGCGGATGAATGGATGCCTTGGAGGGAATGAGACTGGAACGGAGGAGCACTAAAGTAGCAGTGTACAGAAGTTACGTGTAATATACGGTATTTTACGTTTCTCGGTCGTTCTAGTTTTATATAGGTTCTATTCCATCTTAGGAGTCGTTCAGTTACAGCTTGTACCGATACAGTTTAGTGCATACTCGAGTACGGGCCGAGAAACAAAGCCGCAGTGTCCAAGGGGTAATCTGTTTCGAAATCGACTTTAAAGTAGAGAAGACACTATGACTGCGTGGGCCAACATCTCTGCACAAAACGGTTGAATAACCCGCAGATCATCACGTATGTAGACTCGAGTCTTTCGACGCAGGAGACAGCGTACACGGTAACGGCTACGCCAATCCAGATACGCTTCCGAGCTGCGGAGTCGACTATCGTTCCTATGCCGACTGATTCTTTGAGGTTGCCAAGGGGATATCTGCTTACGAGGGAAAAGGTGGGGATTGGGGTTGGAGTGCCGTTGGCGGTTGTGTTGCTCACGATGGTGGTATGGTTTTTCTGTTGTGCCAGGAGGAGGCAGAAGAAGGAGAGGGTTGTTACGGTGACGGACACAGGCCTGGACCTGGATCTTCCTCCGCCGTATCCTGGGCTGGACAATGGACGGTCTACAAATGAGGTTCCGTGTGGATGCCGTCGGAAGAGCTTTTGGATATTCAAGTGGTCGGAGAGGATTCCGCGGCGAGGAGGATGAGTGAGATGGGAGAGTATACCGCAGTCCTGGATGAAATGCAGATCCTGAGTGGGCGATCTCGTACGTAATGAGCAAGTACGCCCTCCCTGTAGTGCTGAGCGAATATATCTGGACGCGATTTCGTAAATGCGGGCGCATTGGGCAGCCTTCATGTCCGCCATCCACCATGATGGTATCTGACAGGGCAGAGGAGTTGGGCACAACATCGTGGACGTGCAGTCCGTTACAGCTGGGGTTAGTAGACCAAAAAATGGCAAGATGCCGCGAAGGAGAAGAAAAGAGTATGAAGCATGTCCTTTCGCTGGTATTATCCAGATCAAGTTCAACGGTATTTCTCAGATCGAGTCATGCCGAAGCAATCCTCGAACACCCGTCATGCTACATAATAAAAGCCCTCACTTACCTGTCCCCTGCTCCGCCTATCTCTCTGCAAGAGTCCGGATCACTATGTTACCGCCGATGCCTAAGCAGAAGCGACGCCATCCTTCGCCGAGTTAACAACCTCCGTAATATCCGAGCTGTCGTCGACGTCCTTTAGATTTCCAAACCAGTCGTTCCGCGACTTGCGCCACCACTCCTCCAGTGCAACGACAGTGATGCCAGCCATGATGACAATGCAGTAGTTGAACAAGCTTGCATCCCCGTCGATAGCACTATCACCGTACTGCGGAGCGCACAGCACCGAAAAGGCGAAACTGTTCCAGATAAAAGTCACAACAGCGCAAAAAACTCCCGCTCGACCCAGATCCCAGAAGCCTGGCCGAAAGGACTTGCGCGTGATAAAGGCGCGGCCAAAACCAACCAAGCCATATGCCGCAATGGAACCAGCGGCAGAGGTAGACGTCAAGCTGTAAAAGGCAACTTGGGAAGGCAACTGGGTGCAGAGCAGGAGAGCGGCGCACGCAGAGATAAAAATGACCGCGTTATGGGGTTGCTTGCTCTTCGACACGCGGCAAAGTACGTTGCTGAATGGGAAAACGGAGTCTCGTGCGATGGCAAACACCAGTCGGGAAACGGCGACCAGCGAAATGGATGTGTTCAGGACCGCACCAATGATTGCGACCGTTGTCGCGACAGCGTGAGCATGATGGCCCAGGGCCATGGCATACATGTTGATAAACGGCTGCGGTACACTGGTGTCGTAGAATGTTTCGATCGGGGGCATGCAGAACAGGAAGAGGATGATGATGGGGAAACCACAGAGGGCAGAGGCCACAGTCGACCAGAAGACTCCTTTGGCGGCGGATTTTCTGGCCGTGAGTGTTTCTTCCGCGACATGACCAGATGCATCCTGGCCGACCAGACAGCTGGCAGGCAGATACCACGACAGAACCCAGTTCAGGCTGGGGGCTGTACCTCCCCCGTTGTATGTGGAGGTGAAGACATACTCCGCGGACCGGAAGCCATAGGTTTTGGAGACTCCGATGGGCAGCCAGATCATATTCAAGAGAATGTCGATCATGATAACGATGAAACCTGCGCGGAAGACCCACGCATAGGTGCGAGGTGGGAGGAAGTTCAGCGAGGTTGCCAGCGCCAGGAACAGCAACGACAAAGCCCAGGCAACCGCGCGAGCCTTGACATCCGATGTTTCATACGGCATCGACGTGTTTGGGTTGAAGGCCACCACTTCGGAAATGACATAGTTGGCCACGCCGAACGAGTCGGTTGCCAGAAACGAAGTCCAAGCGACCAACGTCCAAGCCGCAACAAGGAAAGACACAAACCGGCCGATCTTGCCGCCTCCCCACGAGCGAAAAGCCCAGTAGTAGATCGATCCTGCTGCCGGGTAGGTGGAGCAGGCCTCTGCCAGAGTGGCAGCGGTGATGATGGCCACGATACTTCCAGAAATCCAGGAGCTCCACCTTCACACCGTCAGTTGAATTCATGGAAAGACGATAAATGGGTGACATACATAGCGGCTGGTCCACCGGCGCTCAGCGCAATGTAGAAAAGCACGCGAATGCCGCCAATACAGTACAGCGCGGAGAAGGAGCAGGCAAAGTTGTCGAATGCACCCCATGCGCGGGCCAACTCGGATCGATAGCCCAGTTTCAGCAGCTGCAGGTCATCGTCGTCTTCTGCAGCATTACCATTGGTCATGGGTCGTTTCTCTTGGCTCTCTTGGCCGTCTTGGCCGAGAGACTGGGCAATAGGCATAACGCTTGTTTGACAGGTTGCAACGGTAGGAAAAAGCTTTGCTCTCTCTCTGTCTGTAATGCCGTCGGGACAATTCTGCGGGATGATGAAGTTAACAAACTGGAAGCAAGATCAAGCCAGAGAACAGCAGCAACAGGAAAAGATTTGATTTTTTTTTTTTTTTTTTTTTTTTTTTTTTGAACCTTAATTCTTGTGCCGTGCAATATCGCTAATTGACCAATCACAGTCCGAGATGAAGGCACATTGTTGGTGCCTCATATTTCAGGCGTTAATTTCTCCGAATTGAATAGAAACGGACCGGACGAAGACTTCTCGTCAAAGAAATGTGCCAAAGAAAGGGCTTGAAGTCATTTTAAAGCGCACTGAATGAGGCTGCTACTTCGTTCCTATCTTAAGTGAATGGGGTACTAGTTGTGAGTGGATATCAAGGTCGCAAGTCTTCCTTCGGTAGAGCATCCAAATAAGCAGCACAGCAATAGATGCTAGAGAGAAGACCGGGCAACACTAGCATATAGAAAGTCTGATATCTGCAACCTGCCTGTATACTATTACCTAAATCTCGAATAGACTGGCTAGTATACGTGCCGGTTCAGTCTTCACTGACACAACAGTAACAAGGCCTGATTCCACTCTGGCATAGGATAGAGCTATAGTCTGATGTCACCACTTCCATCGTATCATCTTTGATTGTTCCTGACCCTGTAATAGTGAAATCAGGAACAGTTTTGGAAAGCATCAGTCCACGCCATCCGTGCTGGCAGACGTTGCGGAGGCGTGGGGGTGCAACATGCAGACGGGCAAACTCCGAGAATGCGGGGGACTTTCCCGGGGGACTGAGAATCGGTTAGACGGAGTAGTCTACAATACTACGAAACAGTCGATCGGCACGAATCTCATTAGTTCATTCAATAGCCGGCTAAGCTCGGACCGCATGAATGTGAATGACCCAGACTCAGTGCCGAAGCTTCAACCCCGTGGAGAAATCAAAGACACTGCGTGGGGGTGCATATACCTATCAACATAAAGACTTCAGACCGTCCTGTTGACTGGAATTCTCCACCAGCCGGACATCTGGCCTTCTAGTGCTCATATTACAGTCCAACATGACCTCCAAACCAGCCTCCTTCCACGATGAAGGCCAGGAAGTGGCCAAACCCACCGGCCTCGACGCCATCCACACCGTTCGGATTCCCCTGACCGAAGCAGACAGCAAGCGCATCTGTCGCAAGACAGACCGTGTTATTCTCGTTATTCTGGTTTGGGTATACTTCCTTCAGATCCTCGATAAATCCGTGCTCGGGTACGGCGCCACATTTGGCCTCCAAGCCGACGCCCACCTCACGGGCAACCAGTACTCGCTTGTTGGATCAATCGCCCCTATCGCTCAGCTGGCCTGGCAACCATTCTCCTCGTTCTTGATCGTCAAGGTACCGCATCGGATTCTGATGCCTTCGCTGGTGCTCGGATGGGGTATCGCGCAGACATGCATGGCGGCATGCCATAGCTTCGCGGGCTTGATGGCCGCCCGGTTCTTCCTCGGTCTTTTCGAGGCTGGGTGTATGCCGCTGTTTTCTATTATCACAAGTCAATGGTATCGTCGTGCGGAGCAGCCGATCCGTGTCGCAGCCTGGTACAGTACCAACGGGTTGGCGACGATCGTGGCCGCCGCCCTGTCCTACGGTCTGGGACACATCAAGTCGGATCTGCTGAAGGAGTGGCAGATGTAAGCTACCTCACCAAGTAATTGAAATCGCAGCTAATCAGACCAGTATCTTCCTCTTCGTCGGCCTCCTCACGGTCATCACCGCCCCAATTGTCTACTGGAAAATGGACAACGACATCGTCTCCGCCCGCTTCCTGACCGAACAAGAAAAGCTACAGGCGATGGAGCGTCTCCGCGCGAACCAGACCGGCGCCGGAAGCCGCGAGTTCAAGCTCTCGCACGTCGTCGAAGCCGGCCTCGAGCCAAAGACATACCTGTGGATCGCGATGGCCATGCTCCTCAACATCGGCGCGAGCGTGACCAACGTCTTTGGCCCGCTGATCCTCAAGGGTCTCGGTTTCAACAAGTACACAACCACCCTGCTGAACATGCCGTTCGGCGCGCTGCAGTGGATCGTGATTCTGCTGGCCAGTTACCTAGCGCAAAAGGCGCGGTTGAAGGGCGCGATCCTGGCGGCGTTCATGGTACCAGTCGTTGCCGGGCTGGCGATGCTGCATGCCCTGCCGCATAATGGGTCGGTGCAGGGCGCGCTGATGGCGGGATACTATCTGCTTTCGTTCCTGTTTGCCGGTAATCCGCTGGTGGTGTCGTGGATGGTTGGTAATACGGCCGGTATGACGAAGAAGTCGATCGTCATGAGCCTGTACCAAGCCGCGAGTGCAGCAGGTAATATCGTCGGACCGCTTCTGTTCAGCTCGGCGGATGCGCCGACGTACCACCCCGGTCTGCAAGCTTGTCTGGGAATTTTCGTGGCGCTGGTCGCTGTTGTGTTGATCCAGTGGGCTGATCTGATCCTGTTGAACAAGCTGCAGGAGAAGAAGCGAGTGCGGAATGGGAAGCCGGCCGAGATGGTGGATCGGTCGATGGAGAATCACTATCACGGTGCGGGAGGTGATGAGGAGGACATGCAGCAGGAGATGGGCAACAATGGACTGCTAGATGTGACTGACCGGGAAAACGACGAATTTGTATATATTTATTAATATCGAGATAGACCAAAAGAGATTCCATTCCATCCATCCCATTTGTGGTAGCCTGGTCTGTTTCAAACTAGCTGCAGTGATTGGCCGGGCCGCCTCTATTACCGGATATGGGCAATAAGGAGCATACCATAGACCCATAGTTCCCGCTTGGCCAGCCCCGCCCAGCACCCGAGGATGTCCCTATTAATACACCATCTCATCCCTACCAGAGACAGGATCAGTTGAGTAAATCCTCTGCACGATCAACGCAAATTGTGTACGATAACGTAAATATGAGGTCCTCTCAAGCCATGTCAAAGGCAGCATCGACAATAGCACAGAGCGCTGGCAGATACATCTACCCCGCAGAAACCTCCCGTCATCTGGCGACCATCTTGGGATTTCCATCCAGGCACTCGATCGCTTCAGCCTATTATGACAGCGCATGTACCGACATAGCCAGTCTCGCCTCTGCAATCTCAGCGTTCGAGCCCGTCCGGTTATACTCGCGACCTGAAGATCTCCCAAAAGCCCAGTCGATGGTCAACCAGGCCATTCCAAAGTATACCGGTAACGCCTCGAATATCTCCTTCATCCCCTTTCCCACAAATCATCTCTGGGTTCGGGATACAGGGCCCGTATATGTGCACAGCACTGGAGATGCTCGCTCACGTCGGTTCGCTGTCAACTTTCGGTTCCGTGAGTGGGGAAAAAGGGATGAGATGGAGAGCACTGATCGTGCCGCCGATGGGCTGGACTGGCCCATCATGAACGCCGAGCAACTGGACGAGAACGCGACCTTTGCCAGGAGAGTCATAGAGTCAGATCTCTCCCCTTCTCCGGTGACACTCGTCGAGTCCAGAGTCTGCCTGGAAGGCGGCGCATTAGTCGTGGACGGGGATGGTACCCTCCTGGCCACAGAAAGCAGCATCATCAATGACAACCGCAACGCAGGCCTTTCGCGGAGCGAGATCGAAGCAGAGCTGCGACGCTTGCTGGGGGTGGAGAAAATCATCTGGTTCCCTGGCCGGAAAGGTCTCGATGTCACGGATGTGCATGCAGATGCTGAGGTGGGCTTTATCCGGCCGGGTGTGGTTGTTCTTTCCAGGCCCCATGCGAGTGTCCCTCGGACGTGGCTTGACGTTTACGAGGAAATCAGGGAGATCCTGACTCAGTCAGTGGATGCGAAGGGGCGTCCGTTTGAGATCCATACGGTGGACGAGCCAGACCCTACTATTATCGGGGATTTGTCCTACGAGGAACCAGCGACCAACTACGTGAACTTTTACTTTGTCAATGGCGGCTTGATCTTACCTCAGTTTGGCGATGAGATAAGAGATCGGGCGGCTGTGGAAACATTTCAGAAGCTATGTCCTGGCCGAGTGATACGGCCTGTGTATGTGCATGCGCTTCCACGTGCTGGTGGAGTGATTCACTGTGCGACTCAGCCTGTTATCGCTCTGGAGGAGGACTAAAGGTAGGATAGATATAGTGTTACGTTGATAGGAGATATAGGACTTGAAAACACACCCTGATTGCTTCAGAGAGTGCAGACTTGGTAGAGTAGGTTTGTTCGCTTGTCTTGAGAAGAAGGTGAGAATGCTGTGATTGAGGGCTGCCTTTATACGCCTCTGTATCCCTTGAACTATCGATAAGTAATCTTGGCATAGTTGACGCAATGTACTAGTAATCTTAAGCATTGATTGGTCAAGTCTCAACACTGCCACACCTGCCGTATCAGCTCGCTGAGTATGCTGTGTTCTAATCGTAGAGGCTAGACTAGCCAGCAAGACTACAAGCGCCCGGCTCTAGCCGACATGACACATGCAAGTCACAATTCAAAGACGCAGGATCCTTCTAACTTTAATCCATACTCCATCGCAATCATGAAAGTAGAATCCATCTCAACCAAATGCCTCCTCGAACCCGCCAATCTACAAGACGCAGAACAATTCGCTGAGCTACAGAGACAACGCATAATCTGCGGCTGGCTCTGCGACCCACAGACCCTCCAGAAATGGAAACAAAAACAACAGGAAAACCTCAAAGCCCTCTTCTGGATCACCATCCCGGATCCCAGCACCGGTGATGACAAAGGCATTCGCATCCGCGCAGGCCACATCGCCCTCGACGCTTACTGTGACCCGCCGGAGCCCGACCTCGCGCGCGCAGACAAGTCCGTGCAGACCATCAGCTCGTTCTTCGTCCTGCCTGAATATCGCTCCTACGGGCTGGGACGACGTGCGATGCGCTTGATTGAGGAGATGGCCGTCGTGGAGCCGTATGGGAGCCCACGCTGCCGATTCGTTACGCTCAATGCGCTGAGTAAACGCTATGTGTATGACGAGGGACCTGACTGGCGGGGTCTCTTTGAGAGACTGGGCATGTCGCCGCCGTCGTTCAGTATTCAGGAGTGGTATGAAAGTCTTGGGTATGTTAGCTGGAAGGAAGAGCCCCTTTATGAGGTGAGGACGCTGGATGGGGAGGTGGTGAAGCTGCGGGAGGCGTTTATGCGGAAGGAGCTGCAGTCGGAATTTTCTGTCGATCAATAGACCGGAGGTTCGATAAGTCTCTCTCCGAGTGCAACTAGTCTTAGAGTAGAATGCTTTGTTGTTTCTACCATGTGTCGGGAGACAAAGGAGGGTGAAACAATGCATTGTATTTTCCTATATTCATGACTGTCGCACGTCGCCGGTGCCGATGCAATGCCGCAACTGTCTCATGCTCAGAGGCAATGATACTCAAGACAGACGATGCCATATCTAAGACAACGAATGGAGAGCCATATAAAGTTCACGTCTGTCAAGGTGGCGGAACTTGCGGCTACTCCATCCAATTCAATCTCCCTCCCTAAAGCCTGTTCTGTGATTCCCTTTCGAACCTTGAACATGTCATCAGAGCTGTACAAAATCTCCCCTGCCAGTCTGAAGTACCTCGAGACCCCAGAACTATGGAAGATCATCGAGTCAGACGGTGAGCTCGCGCGCCATGCCAAAGACATTGTGCAGAAGCGCTTCATTGACAACAACGTCTACACCGTCCCAAGCGCCAAAGCCTTCAAAAGACTAACCGAGCACTCATCGGACCCCATCGCTGACATTATCAGGTACGACCGCGTCAAAACCCTCAAGAGCCTAGTTGACGCCGGCCTCAACCTCCAGCACTACAGCCGCAGTGGCTGGAAGCTCCTCAGCCTGGCTCTCGCCTCCAAAGCCGAACGCATCTCGCGGTACCTCATCGACACTTGTTCCCCTGAAGACCTTTGCGGGCGCATAGGCGCCGCCGACGACTGCGAAAACGGCACCTTCCTCTCTCTCGCCGCGACCTGGGATGCATCGATCTTCGCAAATTTGTGGGACCGCCTTCGACACCTCCCCAGCAAGCAGCGCAGATTGTCTGACGACGCCATGTACGCGCTATGCAAATTCTGCGACGCCGGTCTGGCGGAGCTTCTGATGGCTGATGAGGTCGATCTGGCTGCGTTCGTTCATGGCGTATCGGGCGAGACGGCCTGGCATGCGGCGGCGGAGTGTGCCACCGATCTGGAGTTTCTGAGGTGGATTGCAGTTCGATCGCCGGGGACTATTAATAAGAGGACAATGGATGGTACGACACCCCTCATGAAGGCTGCGGCTTGCAATCGTTTTCCGGAAGTTGGTGTCTTTCTTCTTTCGCGTGGTGCTGATCCAGCGCTTGTCAATGAGGCGGGTGAGACTGCGGCCAGTCTGGCACGGCGGTATGGTAACCAGGCTTTGGTGGATTCGCTTGCGGACGAAGAGTAGTCGAGTTTGTTTTCTCTTGGAGTATAATCCTGCTTGCATTGACTGGTTGTTTTGTTGACTGGTGGGCCCTGCCATTTCATCTGTTGTCTGCCAATGTCATCCAGTTTGAACGCATTTCTCAATTTTTTAGCGTAGCTTCATCTTGTATCAACGCTATTTGCGTAATCGTACTTAAGACCTTAACTTTGATGCATGCGCAGAGAAGATCTCATTATGATTCGCTATCAGCGAAGGATGATGCATGAAATATGCGTCTCCCCCTTGTTCAGTCGGTGAACCGGGCATCAACGCTCACCCCGCCATTTCCGCAAACCGAAAATTGTACTCTCCATCTGGTATTTAACTTCATACGTAGTCTATCAATCATATCACAGAGTCTCGATACTCACGGATGAAGGTCATTATAGTTGGCGGTGGAATCGCCGGACTGGCCGCTGCGATTGGACTCCGTCGTGCCGGCCACAAGGTCCAGGTGAATATCCGCTAGCACGAATCGATTTGAGAAGAAACTAAGCATGGCAGATCTTTGAACGCTCCTCGTTCCTTCGTGAAGTCGGTGCAGCAATCCATGTCCAGCCAAACGCCTCCCGGATCCTCTTGCACTGGGGCTTCGACGCTAAGAGAGCTCGCTTGGTGACGGGTCTTCGAACGATGGTGGTACCAGGAACATCGCTCACGTCGAACGTCGGAGTGGACTGCTCCCATTTTGTTGAGACGTATGGTGCACCCTGGTATCTGGCTCATCGGGTCGACTTGCACTCGGAACTGCGACGCCTGGCGACAACACCCGACGCGCCCGGAATCCCCGTGGAGATCGTCTTGCGATCTGAGGTCGTTGGCTTCGACGCTGAGAATGGGTCGATCACTTTGGCTGATGGGTCAGTTCATCGAGCGGACCTTGTTGTCGCTGCGGATGGTGTACATACTACCGCCATCCACCAGGTCATCGGCCATGCTACGCCCGCTGTCGCCACTGGCTCCGCTGCGTTTCGGTTTTTGATTCCGACGGAGGACATCCAGCAGGATCCTGAAACCACGCACCTTCTGGAGGATGGGTTGATGAGGATATACGTTGCCGAAGGTGTGCGCCGACTAATCTGGTATTCGTGCGCCGAGTAAGGCCCTCAGCCATTGAGTATTGTACGCATCAACTCATGAGAATTAGTAACACAGTTGAGAACTTTGTGGGTATTCATTTGTATGAGCGCGGCGATGGCCAAAAAGAAGGTTAGTATCCATATCTGTCCTGTCAATCCTTCAAATACTGACCCAGTCGGGATAGACTGGAATCTGTCCGCCGATGTCAGGGACGTTCTTGCTCAGTTCCACGACTTCCACCCCACGCTTCTCAGAATTATCAAGTAAGGCTTTTGACATCTGTCCAAGACGTGCACTAATCGAGCACAGAAAAGCAGCAAGCGTCAAACGATGGCCGCTTCTCTACCGCGATCCCATCCCAACCTGGACTCGCGGACGCCTTGTACTGATAGGCGATGCAGCACACCCAATGCTCCCTCGTACGTCATTCCCTCATTGCGCTCTGGAAGTAGCTGACTTCTCCAGACCAGGGCCAAGGCGGCGCCCAGGCGATCGAGGACGGCGGTGCCTTGGGAGAGATCTTCGCGCGCATGCCGGATCACCCGACACAAGACGAGATCCGGGATCGTCTAGCGCTCTTCGAAAAGGTGCGTGTTAATCGTGCGTCTGTAATAACAATATTCTCCAATGCCGGACAGGACCAGGGATGGAAAGTCAAGGAACGCGCGGCGCAGTATATGCCGGAGGGGGGCAAGATCCCTTCGTCGCCGCCGGAGTTTATGGAGCATAATTTTCGCTGCGATGTGCTGGAGGAGAGTCGGCGTCTGCTGGAGTTGTATCTTGGAGTGTCGCGGTGTCTGAATTAGTCAGGACTATACGCTATATAGTTTGTGTGTGCATTCTCTGATATAGACGAGCAGACATCTGTAGGTTTACATATGTAGTTCGGGAGCATTGAAGAATCAGTCAGTATATGAAACATATAACAACAAATACTCATAGAACTACAGCTTTAAGGCCCGATATGCTCTCATTGGAGTAATGATCATGCTGGTAGTGTTTGTAATACGAGGAAGCACATCAAGAGAGGGCAGGGCCTTTTCCACCTAGTTGTCTTTCATATATTCGAGCCGCTGAGGTAGGCCAACATTCCTATCCACTGCATTGTAAGCCACATCTGTCCTCTGTCTGTTTGCTTTATGTTGCAACCAACGTATCCTTATAACTTCTGCCTCCTTTCAAACACCATCATGCATAAATCATCTAGTGAGGGAGGTTGAGAACTAGTCTCACATCCCCAGTTGACGCCCCGCGACAAGTGAGATGCGTTAAGCATCAGAGTGCAGGTCGCTGCCAAAGATGGAGAGTATCTCGGGGCAGATCAGTGGAAGAAAACGCGTCGAGAACTGAGCCTGGGTTACACTCCAGTGATGCAAGGCTTGTACTGTACACGATGGGGCGTGCCATCTATGTGTATACTCTACCAAGAGAAACCTTCATCTTAAGTCGATAGTCTTTTCATGATTGAGGTGAAGATATAATTAGAGGGGATATACAACCTACTTATTCTCCTGTTGCGCTATTACCCTAACCTAGCGCAGCAGCTTCACTTCATGCTCAATCTTCAAGTATACAAGTTGACAAGTGCCCATGATAAATATCAAATATTATATACTATAATAAATTGAATTTTCTCAACCAATAGGGCTGGTAGCTCAGTGGTAGAGCGTGAGATTGCAAATCTTAAGGTCGCGTGTTCGATCCACGCTTAGCCCTTCTTTTTTTACCCCCTTACACTATCCATACGCATGCTGCAAGATTTACTCTAAACCCTCTCTCTAGCTTTTCTTTTAATCCAATCTGCTATTTCCCTCGCATTTCTAATTTGCCGTGAGTACAAATCTTGAAAACTGGTTTGCATGTTATGTCCGTCAGTTACTTGCGGCGCATGCCAATCTGAGACTTAAATCCAAGTCGAAGACAAACAAACGGTATACTCATGCTGATACATCATAGAAGACCGCAAGTTGAATCCGCACTCTAGATATCTAACAGAAGTCATCGTATAACACACAAAGGAAATGAGCCGCGGAGGCCAGTTGGTATCAGTAATATACATCTCCACCCAAAAAAAGACCATCATTCTATGCACCTAAGCCCTCCCAGTTTTCACCTCGTAAATAGTTGTAACCTGTATCCCTTCCGCGGAGAACTTGCCCGACTCTTCATCCACGTGCTGGCCGTGACCACCGCTAACATCATTCACATAGGTCGGCCCACTCTGCTCACGAAGGATGAACTCGTCGCTGGCGTGATCGCCCAGCTTACTCCGTTGCGATGTGAGGGGATCGGGTTTGGATTTGCCGAAGACGGAGAGGGAGTAGCTGCCGCTCGCGCCGTAGCGATGGGCGTTCTTGGAGGAAGGGTCCTTGGAGGAGCCGAGCCAGACGGAGCTGCTGAAGAGGGGTTTGATGCAGGGGGCGTTGACGGCGATGAGTGCAACGAACTGTTTGGTTAGCCTTTCTCCGGAGAAGGGAAGGTTGCTTGGGAGGGAGGGGGCGTACGGTCTCGCGGATGGCCCAGATAGTGCTGGTATTGATGCTGTTGATGCTCTGCAGGGAGAGGACGCAGCGGAGGAGGGCTGCGCACATGACGAACACACCGCCGCAGAGGAGGACGCCGATGACGAGTTTTCTGTTTTGGTTAGTGCTCGTATCTATCTGCAGGTTAGAAAGTGACGAGCTTACCGGCGCAATGCTAAGCGAACTTTTGCTAGCAGGGGAATCGGAATCGAGACAAGTACGGCATCCGTTCTGCGCTGGTTAGTCTCTTCGTGGGTTTTTTTATTTTTTATATGCGACCTACGAGACGTTGGTTACGGCGAGGACGATGTAGTTGATTCGGTCGACGGTGCAGGTTTCTATGTGGAGTCAGATCGCATCGCCATATGCAGAGTTTCAGTGATGATGCCTACCTCCTGGATCCGGGTATATCTGCCAATGCTTCTGTATCGGGAAGCAATGGAAGAAGATGGTGAAGATAACCGCGACGTAGGAACACAGGCACAGCACAGCGTTGATCTTGACGAGCTTCTGCTGCATGAGACCCAGTCTACCATGGTTAGCATATCGTCTGGAAGGTGAACAGAAAACATACGTCAAGCGGTTGTAGAAGAACAACATGCAGGCCTTGAGACACCAGATGAGGGTCACATAGCAGGTCCATCCAGCAAGCAGGCATTTGGAGCCAATGACAAGACTCTCGACCTGCTCTGGGGTCATGGCGGCTCGCTGAGCATCAGTGAGGCCAATGTTGGCACCATGTTGGCCTGTCCAGTCAGTCGATTATCCATCGCGATCGGTCGAGACGACTTACCGATGAGTTCCAACATGGTGAGTTCGGCCTGCATATCTCTGTCAGTGGAAGGAGTCCCATTCTGCCGAAGATACGAGAGAACCCACGGTCCAAAAGAGCAATGCGGCGATGGCAAAGTAATCATCACCCTGCCAGTTCTTCACTCCAACCACCTTCCATCGTGCAAAGATTCGACCCAGAATGATGAGAACCCCGATGCCGTATTCCGTCCAAGCCTCCTTCTGAAACGGAGTTGCCTGCCCCATTTCGGTAGACTGAACAGTGCGCAAGAACAGGACGTAGGACGCTTCAAGTGATCGTACGAAGTCTGATGTTTTGGATGCTGTATCTTAAATGAACCAGCACAAGATGTCCCGGATGGAGCTTGCCACTCATGCACCAGGAAGTTGACTGATCCACTTGCATGAGTTGTTAGTGGATCTCCGTCAGGTAAAATACCTTCAAGCTTTGTCTTCACCGGGGCCTGGAGGTGCACGTCAGGGGAACCCATGGACAAGATTTGGGTTTGGAGAAGGGTCATCTAGGTTTGCAGACTTCCGAACCAGAGCTGTGGACTCTCGTTCCCTGGTCAGGATGGATAGAATTATGGTAACTCTCGTAATAGTGGAAAATCCCGCCAGTCAAGGAGACTCGATGAAATGATCTACATAACAATGAGGTGTCTAGTCGACGCCCATAGGTCCGGTGTCGGAATGAAACAATGTCTTGTTAATTTGTCGGGACGACCTTCCAGGGTCTTGGTCAATGGTGCCATAAGACTACAACATGGATCATTGAAGCTTGCTTACCATCATTCCCTAGACTGCTGCCCAGTCCCTGGTTAATGGCGATCGTTGAAAGTCTAAAACACCCCTGACCAGGGTTGTTATTACTCATGAAAAACTGTGTTAGGGTTCACAAAGGGTGACAGGCGACAAATGCCGGAAGAATGCCTTTGTTGACACAAGTCGATGCTCCAAGGAGCGCACACTACATCCGCGCCATCTGCTTCTGCTGTATTATGAGCTCCAGGTATTGTGCTGTCTAGGAAAAATAATACTGTCTGTCCGTACTTTGTACTTTATCTAGTATGCCTGGGTGCAGCATGTGAAATAGTGTTGGCTGATGTGGGACCGGCAAAGAAAAATACGAGGCTATGGCGCTTGCTGCTTTCAAGAACGCCATATCTGCTTCTAAGTTTTTACGGTAGTCTGCACAATGGGAGAATCTGTTCTCTTCCAGCGGCAATGTATAAGTCAAGCAATCTGTGGGACCTGAATGGCGGTAATGCCATCTCTCTGGGTAAGGAAATGCATCGCATCGTTACTACGATACTCTGTACACACTATGGTCTGAGGAACCAAGGAGAGAGTCTAGACTAGACTAGACACAATGACCACCCAAGTAATGTCCCATGCTCGTTTTTAAAGTTGATTGGTCTGCGCCACTGCAGCATAATTCCCTTTCAGTCCATGGTGAAAAGGTGTCCACCTCGAGTCTAGATGCGGAATAGCTACGTATGAGGTGAGAGAAATTGGAAAAGGCCGGCCCCATGTCCTATCTCCTAACAGGCTAGGCATTTGTGCTATCCTTCTAGGAACAACTTGCATTTACTAAATTGACACCTCGGAGCTCGGAAAGTGGACTCCAGCGGGAGACGCAGGCCCATTGTTATTTTCGTGTCCAAGCCACAAGGCACAACGGCTTACCAGAACGAGTAAAAGCGCAGCCCGTACACGGTCGAGGAGCTTCCCGTCTTTGGCCAGGGCGGATCGGATCCACTATTTTTCTGGGGTGATTTCCAGTCGACTCAATATTAGTCACTCCCGTTGAGCTTTGAGGACGAGCGTATGAGGGGACCTGTCATATGTGAGAGCACGCTCGGATCTGAGAAGTGCATTATGCATGGCATTGTGTTCTGCAGATGTCCGATTTACTACAACATTTCTTTTTTTATTTCGGCCTGGGTGGACGACAGTTATCATTTGCAAGATTGCAGAACGCCATGGAAGAAAGACGTGTCACAAGCTGTCTGTGGGAATGATCGCCGGTTCCTCCCGCCAAGAGGAGACCAGCAGGGATGATGCATAAATTGATGCGGACTACTCCGTATCTTGAGACCAAATTCGTTTCTCCCCGAATGCCATATTGTTGCCAAACCAGTTCTGGCCCCCATCCCTCGTAGTAATTGGCCCATTCATAAGAAGCGGATCGTCGACGCTTCAAGGCTTCCCAAGAAAGATCCAATCAGAATCCATTATAAACGACAATAATCGCCCATTAGGCCAATAGAGTTCAGCCGTTACGACGACCAGGATATGGAGTCTGGCTTTCCGGGAGCGGCACCAATTCCGTCAACATGCGAGTAACTTCACAGTCGACCCCGCTCGTACATGCTGCAACTTTCCCCTCTGATCATGGTCAGACAGGCTGGCTCTCCTGGGGCTTCTCAGGAGTGGCAGAAGCGAATGGCTCGGTGACACGAGAGACCCTAGCTGCGCCTTTGCCCCTCTTGCACATGAACCCTATCGACCATAATAAAGGGGATTTTTCGACAAGATGATACTCCAGCCAGACTTTGCCACTCTTCTCAAACTCAATTTCCAGACAAGGAAGACAGACAGAAGGCATCATGGGTTCGATTGCGGATACGCAAGATGTATATGACTACATCATCTGTGGGTGAGTATATCGCCCAGGACCAGGTATGCCATTCGTTGGCTATAACTCACCGTTTACAGAGGAGGGACCTCTGGTTGTGTAGTCGCGGGCCGTCTTGCTGAGAATCCAGATATCACAGTCCTCGTCATTGAAGCTGGACAACACAATCGCGACCTGGAAAATGTACACATGGCCGGAGGGTAAGTGATCACCAGGGTTGATCTCATGCATCCTGCCCAACTTCTTATAGATGGTCAAACAACTTCGACTCCGAGACCGACTGGAACATCATTACAAACCCAATGCCTGGAGTCGATAATCGCCAGGTGAAACTCAGTCGTGGCCGGTTTCTCGGCGGTTCTAGTGGATGCAATGGTACGCTGTGCATCCGAGGTGCCAAACAGGACTATGATGACTGGGGACTGGACGGTTGGAGTGGCGAGGAGTTTTTTGCTGCCATGCAAAAGGTATCTGTTCACTTTCCGAAAGTCGTGTGAGATATACTGACCTTATAGGCGGAAACCTTCCACTCCAAGCCCTGGTTCAAAGCGGATGAGAAGAGCCATGGGTATTCCGGCCCTCTGCACACCGAACCCCATGATCTGGCCCCTATCGCCAATCTCCTCTTGGATTCGTTCGTCTCACAGGGTTTGCCTCTACACCACGACATGTTCAGCACCGGCGACGTACCACATGGATGCGGCCACGTGCCGCGAACAGTATACAAGGGCATTCGGTCCACTGCGGCGGACTACATCACCAAGGAATATCATCGCAATAATGTGACCATCCAGACAGACACCACCGTCGACCGCGTCGTGCTCGAACAAGGTCCCGTTGGGCTCCGAGCAACCAGCGTCATCACTCAGCTGGCTGATGGGACGCCGCGCACATTCCACGCGCGAAAGGAGATCATCGTCTCCGGAGGAGCATACTGCAGTCCTGCCATCCTCATGCGCTCTGGAATCGGAGCTCGCCAGGAGTTGGAGCAGCACGGCATCCCTTGCCAAGTCGATCTCCCCGGCGTGGGCAAGAATCTCATGGACCACTTGGTAAGACCGTCCCTCCGCCCACGTACACACGCAGCTTACATCGCAGATCGTCTTCATGTTCTACGAAACCGAAAAAGAGGGCCTCACGACCGACTTCCACGTCTACCACGACGACAACTTCGCCAAAACCTACCAGCAGTGGAAAGAACACAAGTCTGGCTTCCTCTCCACCTTCCCCTTCGGCTCCTTCGCATTCGCCCGGCTCGACGACCGTCTGAAGGACGAGCCGCTCTGGCGCGATGCACCCCGCCAACCCGGCCGCGATCCCATGGGCCTCACCCCTAAACAGCCTAACATCGAGTTCTTCACGACGGAGTGCTACGGCGGCCCAAAGCAATACAACCAGTTCCCCATCGACCACAAACACGCCTTCTCCATGATCGCCGAGCTGTTCGCGCCCAAGTCCCGCGGCACGGTGACGCTCAAGTCCAAGGATCCAAAGGAGAACCCAATCATCGACTGCAACTATCTCGCGGACCCGCTGGATCTGCTCGTGTTGACTGAGGCGTGTCGCTTCGGTAATGAGATTGTTATGAACGGAGCGGGAACAAAGGACATCGTCAAGGGCTCGTGGCCGCCGAATCTCACGCATCATACATACAAGACGAGGGAGGAGTGGATTCCGTATGTCAAGGAGCATGCGACAACTTGTGAGTGAACCGTACTCGAAACTTGTGGTCCTATATGTAACTGACAGGATAGGCTACCACGCTTCCGGCACATGTGCAATGGGCAAAGATGACAATCCGATGGCGGTGCTGGATAACAAGCTGCGGGTGAAGGGTGTCGCCGGTCTTCGAGTGGCGGATTGCAGTGTCATGCCGACACTGCATGGAGGACATACTCAGATGCCTGCATATGGCATTGGTGAGAAGTGTGCTGAGTTGATCAAGGAGACTTGGTAATATAGCCTTTTGATCAAGTTCAGTATATATTTGATGGTGTCGTATGAGATCCAATTCGGTGGTTCCATTTATGATTGCAACCACCTGTAGTCAGAGCTGTAGGGGATATGTAGAAATGACTAGATTCTTGAAGTAAGAACTTTACTTCATTAGAATAAAGACGGGGAACTGAGGTGAGTTGTCAGGTGCGCGGAAGGAAAAAAAAAAAAAAAAACAGGACTAAGCGTGGATCGAACACGCGACCTTAAGATTTGCAATCTCACGCTCTACCACTGAGCTACCAGTCCTGGTCGGGACTGAGTGGCAAATATTGTGCATCACCAGCCAGAAGTAACTGGCGAGGAAAAACTCTTCATAAAGTCACTCGAACATTATACCCATTAATGACTATCATTGATGCAGATGAAGCCACTGTATAATAATAATGTTGTCTGGGGGAATGATCAAGAGCTAATGACTACATGTTGTCTTCATCTGCATTCCTTGTCCATGAGGATCAGATAGTACTCGTAGGATGCTGTTCCTTGGCAATGCTTGATGATCCATCCAACGAAAAGGTCGCCCATCTCTCTTCAAAATCACTCTCCTCTTACCCTGTACTCAGCATGATGCATCTAGACATGCATCTGTAGGGCTATGAGAAATTCA